ATCTTGTGTTCGGCAACAAAATCTGGTTTGGCGACCATGGGAATTCTAACACCGCCTGAATCCTCTATGACCACTGCGTCTCCTGGGTATGTGCCTATGACTGTCAACAAAGGCTTGAAGGTTTCAGAATCCACAAAATGTTCCGCATGCACAAATATATCAGATTCGTTTTTATAGTTTCTTAAGAATATTATAACGCTGTCACCGCCTTCGGCGGTGACTCTTCTGTTAATTGGTGCGAAACATTCACCTTTTACAGACATTTCGAATGTAGTTTTAACCGGAACAATACTGCTGTACGACCCCTTTGATACAACAATAATGTTTCCTTCGGGCGAAATACTCGGACACTCGATCACTGCCGTACAGTCGTGTTCGTTGAAAAGTCTTATTTCCATTTCGTTGGCTTTAGGAACAACTGGCAATTTGCTCTTTACAAAAGATTCTAAAAAACCTGAACAACTGAACGCCAAGGCTAAACAAATTGCTCCAAAAATCATTTGCTTAAGCGTAGTGTATATCCTTGTCCATTTCAATACAGGATCAATGAGATATTCGCAAACTGGTACTAAAATTATGCTGAAAAATCCATGTATCATATCATGGTGATCGGGTAAGAAATTATACGAGAGTATTCTGCCATCCATTCTGGTAAGTGTAAAAGACCAGTCCTTTTCCTGCACCGAATTCAAAGCACCATACACAATTATTGTGCTAAGAACTATAATCATATTAAAAACAGTTTTAATATCTGTTACCAATTGTTGTCCATAAACAGGTTCTGCATGGTCCAACCAATGAGGTTTAGGATTGGTTTTGTGTTCCTTAAAGCTTTGTTTTGCACCATACCATATGCATTTGCCCATATCAACTCCCACATTAGTATGCACTGGCCTGTTGACATAGTATTTCCTTCCCAATACAAATGTTATGAAAGTGAGTGTGCAGGAAATTAGGCTTAAACCTTGTGGTAGGATGTAGCAATCCTGTTCGCCCAAACAGGCATAGTAAGTCTTTACCAATGGTGCTAAAAGGCTGCCTATTACATACATTCCCTGGTTGCAAAAGTAGTACAATCTCAGGTATTTTGTCAGCAATGCATCTTGACTTGGAAGATCGAATTGATCAGCTTCCAAGGCATTTTCTAGAGAATTTATAAAAATAATGTCGACGACATTAAATAAACTTTTCACACTTTGCAATATGATGCTGTAAGGATACAGAGCCGGTACGGATATTACCACATTGTACAACTGGACCAACCAATCTAATGTATGAAAAATCAATCTACACTTGAATCTGTTCCAGCGACTGTCTAAGATCAAAGCTCCAAATGGTCCCAAGAAATAAGCAGTCATATCAGTCAGGCACATCAGCAAAGTAGCTGTATCTTCACTCAAATTATGCTTGTTCGTCATGAATAAATTTTTTAGGGAAACTGCAAAACCCATGTCGAAGTTGTACACAGCACCAACCACAAGTAACATTACTGCTCCTTTTGGAAACCCGGTCCTTGTACTTTCCTGCTCCATTTTGAAAATATTTTGGTGTGAATTTTAAACAGTTTTTTGAAACAAACCCACTGAAAATTTTAATTTGCTTTCATACAATATGCTGTCATTGATTTTCATTTATCGAAACGAAAGTTATTTTTTGACAAGTAAATAGTTTTCAATTGGTCAATTCAAAACCTAGCCAATTATTCTTCATTAAAGCATACCGAGTTGCTTTAGACCATTATGACATTAAACAATATCATAGGTAATTTAATTTAGTACAAATTTATCAAATACACCATTCATATTAATCGAATGGTTTAAAAGCTACAAAAAATAAGGTAAACAAATGCACGCGCAGTGCATTACCAACAATATGCACTTTTGTCGCGCTCGCGTTTTATAAAGGAAATTTACCTTCGGGTAAAAAACCCATGTTATAAAGTGCAATGTACATACTTTTATATACTGAAATATATAGTCTTTGAATTGAAAAATTGAATTAAAGGAAATTTAGAATTTAAACTTCGAAGTTTACCAAGTTGCACTAGAACTTTATAATATTTAACAAAAATATGAAAATATACTGTATTTATTTATACCACGAGTTTGCAGAAAAACTCGCTTTACTATTATAAAAATATTTACATCCTTATAACATTTATATATTATGATCTCGGAACATGTTTTTTATATTTATTGAAATAACTCAAAAATTTTGTTCAGACCATTTTTTTTAGTCAGGAACTAGATAGAATTTACTAAAATTTCATTAAAACAGTCTAATACATTCCAAAACACTTTTTTGAATGAAACTATTTTGAAATCGCTCGAGTTTAAAATTCTCCATCATAAAAATTGATACATAGGCAGACATTAACAATAGTAAAAATTCTCATATTTTTTTACATTTATTCCAAAAACTCGAAAATGTTGTTCCTGGCACTCTTTTCATAAGCTTAGCAGAAACTAGATACAATTTACTACGAATCCCTATACACAGTTTGAAACAGTCTTGAACAAAAATTTTGGATAAATCCAATACAAACTCGCCCTTATACATTCAATACAAACTCGTCATTATACATAATCCTTAAACAAGCTTTCGGGACATTTTTGTACAGTTTTTTGAATAACTCAAAAATTTTGTTCGGGACCTTCAAATTTATTTAACTTAGCAGAAACTAGATAAAATTTAGCACCAATCCCTATACTCAGTTTAAAAAAGTCTTAAACAAAATTATTGTATAAATCCAATACAAACTCGTCATTATACATATCATATATATCAGGAACCAAATCACATTTTTCTAAATAACTGAAAAACTTTGTCCGGGACACTCAAATTTATTTAGCTTAGCAGAAACTAGATAAAATTTACAATAAATTCCTATACTCAGTTTAATATAGTCCCAAACAAAATTTTTGAATAAATCCAATACAAACTCGTCAATATACATAGTCCTTAAACAAGCTTTCAGGACATTTTTGTACAGTTTCTTGAATAACTCAAAAATTTTGTTCAGGACACTCTTTTTGTTAGCTTAGCAGAAACTAGATATAATTTACTACATTTTCTGTAAACAGTTTAATCTACTCATACAAATATTTTGAATAATTCAATAAAAACTCACCCTTATTTATTGTCCTAAGTTTCCCACATAAGATTTCGGAACATTTTTTCGATTCTTTCTGAATAACTCGAAAGTTTTGTCCAGGACACTCTTTTTTAATTTTTTAATTAGCTTAGCAAAAAGTAGATAAAATTCGTTACATTTCCTAGAAAACAGTTTAATATAGTCCTATATAAATATTTTGTAAAAATCCTCTGTAAACTCGCCCGTTATATATTGTTCTAATAATACGTACCATACAAGTTACCAACACATTTTTGTACATTTTTCTTAATAACTCAAAAATTTTGTTTCGAGCACTTTTTTTAGTTAGCTTAGCAGAAACTAGATAAAATCTAGTATCAATCCCGATACACAGTTTAAAACAATCCTAAACAAAATTTTGTACAAACCCCAACGCCAACCCCAAAAATCATCAAAAGTTGAAACCATCAAAAATCCATCTATTACCCAAGCGACAATTTAATTCAAAATCACCATCAAAAATCACATAAAATTTAATAAATAAATATAAAAAAGAGTGCGCGTAAGGATCACACGCGATTGAAGTAAAACTTATTTGCAATTATATTGTAGCAAATTTAAGTTGAGTAAAAATAAATACATCATATAAAAATTTTGAATAATGTTTATTAGTAATATGGTAGGTAACACTCGTGATGCACGCGTTTATTAGTCTCGTCAATCATTATACACATTTATAGAATGATAAATTATAAATTATATATTTATGATTGCATTAAAAATATGTACAATATTTACAAGCAATAATGTAAACAAAGTCGTACTTGAAATATGACATGATCGTTTTAAAGTAATTGCTGATTAATAAATTCTATAATATTCATTCACACAGTGGATTATGTTAAACAACGCCTAAACAAATATTGTTTTTGCAAATTAACTCATCCTGTAACAATTGTGTTTGAAGAACTTCATGTAATTAAAATTAACATACATTCATTTACTATTTGTATTTTTTTACTTTTTCGCTGACGATATAATCTCATTCCTTGGACAGCTGTAATATCCGTCTTGCCTAACAAATTGAAGCCATACTTTTATATTTGTTTTATTTAACAAGCCCTGCACATAGCTTGATCTATGAATCATTTGCTTTTTTATGTGAACGTTAATGCAATGATCATCATCGATATTACGAGGTAATAAATTAATCATATTATTAATGTCAACAGGCACATTTATAATTTGGCCAAACATTCCAAATTATCCATTTGCATGTCGCAATCGTCTAATTTGCATGAAACACAACCTAGGTGAAATTAACCTTTTAGATACAGTATCTAGTTTAGGTAGATAATTTGGTATAGGTGGAAATACAAATGTGTTAAATTTACACAAAGTGGGAATTTTACCCGAATTTAATATCTTTCGACAAGTTTGACATCCAACCTGATTATTTAAATCAATATTCAAAAAGCATTATTAAGTATTTGTTTTTGAGCATCATTTGATATATCTAAGTCACTTTGAAGCCAAAGACGATCACACACAAAACATACATAGCCAAAGCTATCATTTCTTATTTATTTGCGATCATTTGCACTACAATTATTTATGGGGGACGGGATAAAATATTCTTCCGATCCTGACATTTTTATTAACTCACGAATTATACTGCTAACCCATGTCGCGCCTAAAGAAGTTTTACTTGGAAAAATGTTTGGAGACTACGAGCTAAATACAAAACTCAAGTGAAAGTCGACACATTTTTGCGATAGCTGCGCCTACTAGCGTCGTAGTGTTCAACTTCACGTTGGCGTTTTCGTTGCATTTGTACGGATTCACACCCATGTCGCGCCTAAAGAAGTTTTACTTCAAAAAATAAATTTTTCCTTTTTCCACTAACCTGTATGTGTCCTCAAATGTGCCTTGAGATGCGAGCTTTTGCCATAAACCTTATCGCAGCCTTCATAGGCGCACTTGTGCGTTTTCCGGAACTCCTTGGGAGCACTCGGCACTTTCTTACCACTTTTCACACCACTAGTCGCACTTTCAACACTATGTAAACCACTACTACTAATCCCACCACCACTATCGATATTAGACATAACATTCAGGACATCCTGATTTTCATTCGGAGATCCTGGGCAATCAGAAACAGGTTTATCCTGGACATCCATCGATAAAACTTTGTCTTCCTGACCCTCCTGAATTTTATCCTCAGAATCGATTAAAGCATCTTCATCTATATGCAATTCATCATCATCACTCTGGATTTCAGGAACAGGTTCTTGTTTAATACTAGTCAGGTCTGTTAAAATCCTGGCTACCAGGTACATGGGGCTGTTCCTACTGGCAAGTTTCCCGTCGTCGACTTTGCAAGGTTCTTGATCGAAATTCGGATGAGGAGATCTGTTGCTCAAATCCAGAGGCGGAGTGTCGACACTTTTGCCGGCTGACATTGCCAGGAGACACTGGGCTGCGAATTTTATGTCTTGATCCATTTTGATAATGGATTTTGGAAATTAATAAATTGAGAAGATTTTGATGGTGCTTGGGTTGGAAGTGATTTTTTGGGGTGACATTTTTGCGTGATGATATTTGGAGGATGATTGTCCAGGTTTGATCAAATTTTTGTCAAAAGTTTGTGAATGTTCGATTTAAAAGTTCGTAATGATTTTAATTTTTAAACACCACTAGTTCATTTTCTTATAATTTTTCAAATTCGATTATTTTTGTCAATATTTTTCACTTTAATTTTCATTTACTTTAATTTAATTTTTTTTTTTAATTCACTTTAATTTTAAATAATATTTGCACTAACAAAAAAATGTAATTTGTTTAAAATTTATTTTTTAGTTAGATTTTCCTGAAAAAAAAAAGAATTTGTTTATTAAAATAAATATGCAAAAAATGTTTAAAATATATATAAAAAATATATTAATTTTTATAAAAATTTCACTTTAAAATTTGAAATGAATATATAAATTAAAAAATATACATATACATATATATATATATATATATATATATATAAACATTGTCTAACATTATAATGCCCTAAAGCAACTCGGTATACTTTAAAATATTAATAGAAACTAATAAAATTTAATTGTAATTGAATAACTGCTTTTTGTGCATTTATTTGCAGTATCTCTTATAACTTTTGAAGGAATAGTCTAAAATAAATAAAATATCAAACATATTTGTACTAAATTACATAATAAACAATTTTTTCTAATATTATAAATTCCTAGAGCAACTCGGTATACTTAAAAATCGTAATTGAAAAAAGACATGTTCTAGCTGTAGTGTAATGCCTTACAATGCATCATGCCATTTTGTGTGCATTTATTTATTATATCTCTTAACTTTTAAACAAATTGTCCAAAATAAACAAAATATTCTGCAAATTTGTACTAAACTAAATTATCTATAGCATTGTCTAATATTATAATGCCCTACACCATTTCGGTATACTTTAAAATCTCAATTGAAAATAGACTAACGTCCTGATTGTAGTACAAAGCATTAAAATGCACCATTAAATTGCATCACATGTAACTTTTAAACGGTTTGTCCAAAATAAACGAAACATTCTGCAAATTTATTTAAAATTAAATTATCTTAAACATTGTCTAACATTATAAGTACCTACAGCTACTCGGTATATTTTAAAATAATAATTGAAACTAATAAAATTTAATTGTAACGGAATAACTACTAATTGTGACTTTATTTGCTATATCTCTTATAACTTTTAAACGATTTGTCTTTAAAATGACCCCAAAACCAACCTATTGATATCAAATTATATAACCAACACGTGTCGGGAATGGCTTCCACTATTTGTGTGCACTTATTTTTAGTAACTTTGAAAAATAAATGAAATATTCCGCAAATTTGTTGGAAATTAAATTATCTACAATATTGTCTAACATTATAAGTACCTACAGCAACTCAGTATACCTTAAAATTATAATTGAAAGTCGACAAATTTCGCGGACATAGTAACACGCAATGCTTCAATTATTTTGGATACATTTACTTATTGCATCTCCAGACAATCAACGGATTGTCTAAAATAAATGAAATATTCGGCAAATTTGTTTAAAATTATCTACAATATTGTCTAACATTATAAGTACCTACAGCAACTCGGTATACCTTAAAATCGCAATTGCAAATAGGCACATGTGCAAAGACCCACAATGTACCATAACTAGTTCTCATGTGCATTCATTTACATTAATTCTTGTAACTTTTAAACGGATCGTCTGAAATAAATAAAATATTCGGCAAATCTCTACTAAATTACATAATCAACATTCTTTTCTAATATTATGGTGCCCTACAGCAACTCGGTATACTTCAAAATCGCTTCAAAGTCCTGATTGTAGTACAAAGCATTAAAATGCACCATTAAATTGAATCAAATGTAACTTTTAAACGGTTTGTCCAAAATAAATGAAATATTTTGCAAATCTATACTATATTGCATAACCAACATTTTTTCTAACATTATTATACCCTACAGCAACTCGATATACTTCAAAATCACTCCGAAACCAACCTAATGATATCCAATTCCAATCCTATAACTAACACGTGTCGTGAATGACTAAGACTTTTGTGTGCATTATCCTTTGTAACTTTTAAAATATTCGGCAACAAAATATTCGGCAAACTTTTACTAAATTACATAATCAACATTTTCTTCTAACATTATAAGTACCTACAGCAACTCGGTATACTTTGAAATCACTCCGAAACCAACCTATTGATTCCCAATTGCATAACCAACACGTGTCGGGAATGACTATTTTTGTGTGCATTATCCCTTGTAACTTTTAAACGGTTTGTCCAAATTAAACGAAACATTCAGCAAATTTGTGTAAAATTAAATTATCTACAACTTTGTCTAACATCAAAACACCCTACAACAACTCGGTATACCTTAAAATCACCCAAAAACCAACAAATTCGCTTACGAACACGTGCTTACATAAAACCCACGCTACATACCACTTACACCTAATAATACTTAAAAATACCTTTACCAATATAAATTTCAAACACTTTTCAACACTTTATAAGTATCAAATATCATTTAATACACACCTAAGAATAAATATTCGATCCGAATATTTTTTCGCGTATTCAATTTCCTTCGTATATATTTTTTTATCGGGCACAGATTTACATTACAGAAACGATTCGTACGAATCTTCGTACGCTACTGATCGTGTCGCGTGCGAATGGCAAAACACGCCCCGGGCTTCGGCCAAATTCGTGTGTTTTCGGGTAAAATACACGAAGGGATGATTTTGTCATGAAGGTAGTTTGTGATGGAGGGCAAAGGTAAAATTAAAGGATGATTTATTTGTATTTTCTTTTAAAATCCGTTGTTTTATGCAAAAATGGGTATTATTAACTTCCCGTAGGGTAAGTTATTGTAATGGGCAAAAAATCGGAATTGAAAATTTTTACATTTCTCGACGTTTTGAAGGTTTCTGAACGTTTTGGCATACCTTAGAAAAAATAGATGTGTGTGTGCGGATACAAATTTTTGTCGACGATTTCCGGAACACGGATCAACCGATTTGAATGATTCAAAAAACATTCGATTCCTATTGATAGGGAAAAAAGCTGATTAGTTTTTGGCAGAGTCAGGTCCAGCCGTTTCGGAGATACGGAGCAAAGAGTACAGAAAATAGAAATCGATTTTTTGAGAAAATGGAGTATCCGATTTGAATGATATAAAAAGCATTCAATTAGTGATGATTGGGAGAACTGTATTAGTTTTTGGCAAAGGTAGGCCCAGCTATTTCGGAGATACGAAGCTAAATATGTAAAAAATGGCAGTTTTTGAAAGAACTAAGCGCCCAATTTAAATGATTCAGAGAACTTTCTGCTTGTCTTAACAAAATAATTGATTTAGATTTTTTTTTTTTAGTTTTTTTGTATATCGAAAATATTTCAGATTTTATTTTTAATTCTGACTATTAGTTCTAATATACTTTATAAATAATTTCAACTCTGAAATTCAGTTTATATAATTCTTATAAATATTAGACAATGTTACAATATTTATAATAATCTATTTGAAAACATTCAGTATTCCTCGAACATTTCGTTACGGTACGAGAAGTTCCAGCAATTTGCCTTAAGGCACGATGCCACCTACCCCACTAGTTACATTTTTCTTAATAACTCAAAAATTTTGTCCAGTACACTCTTTTTTAATTAGCCGTAAAAAGAAGAAAGTAGATAAAATTCAATAATTTGCTAAAAAACAGTTTATTCTATCCTTATATAAAATATATTAATAAATCCAATGAAAACTCACCCTTATATATTGTCCTAAGTTTTCCATACCAGGTTTTAGAACACTTTTTTCACATTTATTTAAATAACTCAAAAATTTTGTTCCGGGCACTCTTTTTTAGTTAGCTAAATAGATAAAACTAGATAAAATTTACTTAAGTTTCTCATAAACACTTGTATAATCTTTGATATAAAAATTTTGAAAAAAATAACTAGTTTAAATTCGCACTTATTTCATAAGCAAATTTCTAGTATGGTTTTGGCACATTTTTGCATTTTGTTAAAGAACTCAAAAATTTTGACTGGGACACTTTTTTTCGTTAGCTTAGCAGAAAGTAGATAAAATTTGTTACATTTCCTAGAAAACAGTTTAGTATAGTCCTATATAATTATTTTGTAAAAATCCTCTGTAAATTCGCCCTTATTATATTGCTCTATATATTATATATTGCTCTAATAATATGTACCATACAAGTTACCAGGACATTTTTTTGAATAACTCAAAAATTTTGTCCAGGACACTCTTTTGTAGTTAGCTTAGCTGAAATTAGATAAAATTTACTAAAATTCAATATAAACTGCTTTATACTGTTTAATATAAAAAAATTGAGGAAAATATTTAGTTTAAACTCGCTCTTACATAATGAACAACTTTTTCATATATTGATTAAGTTTATTTTTTACATTTTGTTAAAAAAAACTCAAAAATTTTGTCCATGACACTTTTTTTAGTTAGCTTAGCAGAAACTAGATAAAATATACTATATTACCTATAAAACAGTTTAATCTAGTCTTATATAAAAAATATTAATAAATCCAATGGAAACTCACCCTTATATATTGTCCTAAAGGTTCCCATACAAGATTTCGGGACACTTTCACATTTTTCTGAATAACTCAAAAAATTTGTCCAGGACACTGTTTTATTTAGCTTAGCAGAAAGTAGATAAAATATACTATATTTTCAGATTAAAAGTTCATATAAGTCTCATAACTTTTTTTGAATAAATCCCCTGTTAACTCGCCTTTATATATTGTCTTAAGTTTCCCATGCAAGATTTCGGAACATTTTTTCACATTTTCCTGAATAACTCAAAAATTTTGTCCAGGACACTCTTTTCAATTTAGCTTAGGAAACACAAGATAACATTTGTTACATTTTCCTGTAAACAGTTTAATATAGTGTTATATAAATATTTTGTAAAAATCCTCTGTAAACTCGCCCTTATATATTGCTCTAATAAATTGTAGCATACAAGTTACCAGGACATTTTTTTGAATAACTCAAAAATTTTGTCCAGGGCACTCTGCTTTAATTAGCCTAGCAGAAACTAGTTCAAATTTAATACATTTGCTAGAAAACAGTTTAATATAGTCCTATATAAATATTTTGAATAAATCCACTGTAAACTCACTCTTATATATTGCTAAGTAGCTAAAAATAAAATAAGTAGTAAGCTAAAAATAGAATTTAATAAAATTTCATTTAAACATTTTTATATACTACAAAATACAGAACATAAACTTGTTATATTTATACTAAATATTTATATATTTATATATGTAAATAAACATATCTAATTATTATTCAGAGACAATTCTAATCTTTTTCTGATAATTTCACGAGAACAATATTTCTGATCCAGATTGCCACAAATACTAACTCTGTCATTAAAAAAAAAATTCAACTGTCTTCGTTCATTTCTGTTATCATACCATTTATCCGGCATGACCCAAGGATTTTCGCCAACGCCACGTACACAACTCCAATTAGCAACTTTTTCTGATCTCGTATCACCAGGACCGTCTTCTTTGAATAATTGAAACCCACAAAAGTGCACCCATTCAAATACATCCATGGCCGAGATATTACATAACACATCAATTACACAAGTCCTCCAGGTCTGATCCGGTTTTAAATTCTTTGGACGAGTAAGGATCAATTGTGTTACACCACCGTCGATGTTAGAAGGTGTATTATAAATTTTTAATTTTGTTAAACACCGCATGATTTCTGATAGATATAAAATGTAAGGAAGGTTTATGCGTGTGTCTTGAAACGTTTCTTCAAATTCCTCTGCAGTTATATTGAATCGGCACAATCTTCCACGAGTCAGAGAGTAATCTCTACCTCTCGGGGAATGATTTAGTGAAAGTCCAACAAGATTTTCGGTAAATTCAGAATTTTCTGGTTTTCCTAGTCGTAAACAAGTTGATTTTTGTTTTACAGAGTCTTTGAGTGCTGCAATATCCATAAGCATGTCACCGGCAATACCTAGAGAAGGTACTTCTTCGAATAAATTATGGTTGTCTTCATTTACCTCTTTAGCGTGGTATCCACCAAAACCTTGAATGACAGTTACCGGCAAAGCAGGAGCCTTCAAATTTTGTTCTCCATAAGGTTCTAGGGATAACGTACCAATCTCTTTTAGAAAAACATATAAAGGTGAAGGGATATTAAATTTTATGCCACATACGTGAAGTCTTATAAGACGTTCCTTATCAGTCATGAAAGAGTGTGAGCGATATTTTACTTCTAGTAGCCTGAAATGCAAAAGGGCTGTAGCATAGTAATACAGTTCTTCAACTTGCAATCTTCGGCCATAAAAGTCATCAAAGTTTAAATCATACATATCTTTGGCAATATCGATTATTTTACTGTAATTGGAAAAGAAGTGATCATTAATGCATTTTTCCATATACACTTCATTTCCAAAAACAAACTGGTCTAAAATATTATTGGCTTTGGTTTCCTCAAACTGAAACTTGGTGGGCTGCTGTAATTCATCTTTTACTTTTACTCGTCGATTAGGCATATTTAAGAATTATCTAGACACCTGTTGTAAAGTTATCCAAAATTCTTAGTTCAACAGTCTTCGTTCGTCACAAATATATAAATAACTCAACTTTTCTTCTTATAAATTATAATAAATGAGCATCAACTGATTTTTAAGTTCAGATTTCAGAAGTGATAGTTAAAAAGTCGCGCACTCAGCCGTGAGGGCGCTGCTGTCGGCATTCAAATTAATGGCGCAAAATTTGAAATAAAATTCATGAATTTAATCGCGCATTTGAAACTTTCGGTATTACACTCGTATTATGTTTCGTAATGATGTAATAATGATAAATATATACTAACTAGTGGTGTATGTCATCGTGCCTTAAGGCAAACTGCTGGAACTTCCCATACTGTAATAAAACATTCGAGAAATTTTAAACATATTATTACAAATACTGTAACTTTCATTATTATTTTTGCTATCTTGTTGTATCCGAGCAATTCAAATGTAAATCATAAATCAAATGATCTCCAAAACATTAACAACAATCATTTCATTTGGAATTCAATTTCAAAAAAAAAAATAGTTGCCTAATTTACAGAAAATTGAAAAAATGCTCCCGCATAGTCACAGTCTAAAACCCGCATTTGCAAACAATTCTGTGCGACATTTTCACTTATACTGTGCTTAGCTTGGCGGCATTTTCACATTTTTCAATAGTTTTCACAAAATTTGCAAAGTTCTCCGGTGCATAAACACTCTAAACGCACTTGGGTAAACATTTGCACCAGAGTGGCGCTTAGACTGTGCTTAGTATGGGTCATTTTTTGAATTTGTAATCCAAAATTACAAAAATATTTTTTGAAAAAAAAAATTAGAAACAAAAAATGTTTTTCCACAAGCAAATATTTTGTTGAAACTAGTGGTGTATGGCATCGTGCCTTAAGACAAATTGCAGGAACTTTCCGCACCATTTTTTTTTTAAATTAACATTTTTGAAAAAAATTTACTCTGAAATAATTAGATTTTTGAGAAACTATAAATGAAATTTGAAGAAAAATTTATTTTGAAATATTTTGGAAATCTGAACTTTTTTTCAAAGCAATCGTACTGCTTTAACTGCACAGAGACGAAATATCGAAGCGAGTAAGCGCCGCGTCGCCGTCTATCGCATAAACATTGGTACGGAACCCATAGGAATGTAAACAAAATTTATACTTATTATTAAAAACTCTACAAAATATCTGATAATTTGATGTGCATATGTCTAATGATCATTTTTGACCGCCAAATGGCATTTTTTTTCACTTTTTTTACTAGATCTCCGAAACCGTTAGACCTGTCTTCATGAAAATTTGATCAGTTCTTCACCTTGTCAATACAAGTAAAATGTTTTTTGAATTATTAAAATCGGATGCTCCGTTCTCTTAAAAACTGAGTTACCGTTTTTGGCACTTTTTGCCCCGTATCTTCGGAACGGCTAGACCTGTCTTCACCAAAAACTAATCAACACGTCTCCCTATCAATGCGAATCGAATGTTTTTTGAATTATTCAAATTGCTTCACCCGTGTTCCCGAAATCGTCGACGAAAATTTGTATCCGCACACACACACACATACGTCTATTTTTTCTAAGGTATGCCAAAAAGTTCAGAAACCTCTGTAATGTGAAGATATATAAAAATTTTCATTTTCGATTTTTTTGCGATTACTATAATTTGCCCTACGGGAAGTTAAAAATATACTACATTTTCCTGTAAACAGTTTAATCAACTTTTATACAAAAATTTTGAATAAATCTAATGAAAACTTACCCTTATATATTGTCTTAAGTTTCCCATACCATTTCCGGGACACTTTTCACATTTATTTAAATAACTCAAAAATTTTGTCCAGGACACTCTTTTTAATTTAGCTTAGCAGAAACTAGATAAAATTTACTAAAATTTGTTATAAACACTTTTATACTCTTTAATATAAAAAGTTTAAGAAAAACATTTAGTTTAAACTCGCACTTACATAATAAGCAAACTTCTCATATAAGAATTGGTTTCGGCAGATTTTTTTACATTTTGTTAAAAACTAGAAAATTTTATTCTAAACACTCTTTTTTATTTAGCTTAGCAGAAAATAAAAATACTACAATTTCCTGTAAATAGCTTAATGTAGTCTTATATAAATTTTTTGACTAAATCCATTGTGAAATCACCTTTATAAATTTTCCTACCAGTTACAACATATGAATACGAGACAATTTGTTACATTTCTTCAAATACTTTAGTAAGAAAGTAAAAAAAAAAAACAAAAATATAATGGTAAAAAAGATATAAAAGCAAGAATATTATAAAAACAATATTAACAAAATGAAAAGCGAAAATAAATAAAACAAAAGCAAAAATTAAAGACAAAACTGTAAAAGGAAAAATTTAAAGAATTCACAAAAAAAATATTAAGGCCAAAATATATAGAAATTACAAAAAATGTAAAGACACAATTGAAAAATTTTAAAAGAAAAAAGTAAAATTGTAAGAAAATAAAGTATTTATATTAAAAAGAAATTGAAAAGGGAATAATATAAAAACAAAATTGTAAAACTAAATAAAATAATTAAAAATATAGAAGTTAATTACAAACAAAATACATTACAGAAACGAAATTTCAAAAAGCAGAATTGAAAATGTCACAAAAGCAAAATTGTGAACAAAAAAAATTGTAGAAGAAAACATTCAAAAACAAAATTATAATTAAGATTATAAGGAGACAAGGAACAATTATGAATGAAAATTTACTGCTTGAGAAAACATCAATAAACGGTAAAAACTCCCAAACACTTTAGTTTTGGTCTCAATTCACAGTTCAGAATGACTTGAAACGTCTAAAAAACAAACAGGTTTGACTAAAAAAAAACAAGCTTCTCATTTGGAAATATAAAAAAGTTTCATTACTGATTAAAAATATAAAAAAATGAAAGAACTATCGCAAAAAGAATATAAAACAAAATTGTTAGAGCAAGAACAAAAGAAAAAAGAAATTGAAAAAGAAAAACGCCTTAAAAACAAAATTGTTTTGAAATAAAAATACAAAAGTAAATATATTACAAAAACAAAATAATAAAAGCAAAATCAAAATTGTAGATAAAAATAGAACAAGAACAAAACGATAGCAAAAAAAAATTATAAAAACAATTGTAAGGGGAAAAATGTGAATAAAAGTATTTATAACTGAGTTATAAACACTAAAATATAACTTTTTGAAAATAAAAAAGAAGTCAAAGAATCCAACAAACATATTCTCACAAATGCATACAAACTTTCTTTAATTTTGTCATAATTCACAACAAATGACTTGATAAAATGACTTAATAAAATTAAGCAGTGAAACTTCTTTGAGAATTTTGTAAAAACTATTTAAACACGACTGAAAATATCTTAAAAAAAAACAATTTTCATGTTTTTTTAGCCCTGTAATAAAAATTCTAACCTAACAAAACCCAAAACAACAAAAAAACCTTAAATCATCTTAAATATCTTTATTTCTCCAATCACTACTTCATCAACCCTGCTTCTGTGCCATTTCCCTGGCCTTGATCTTCTCCAACTTGGCAATTCTGGCAGCGCTCTTAGATCCCAAGACACCACCGCCCCAGTGCCTTCTGATCTCATCGTGCCTATCGTTGTAGTTGGTCTTGACGGCCTCAACCAATTTATTCAGACCGACTCTGTCGCCTGTGTCAACATTGGTTAGTGCTACACATGTGCAAGTCTTCCTGCGGACCAGGGCTCCGAGACGGGCCTTGCCTTTCACTATGCAGTAGGGGACACCCATTTTGCGGCACAGGGCTGGCATGAACAACACCAACTAGATAAAAGACACATGGGGTAAGTAAATTATGCATTTAGATAATTGTAATTTAATGTGAAAGAAAATTTAGGTGCTCAGGGTCAAGTTACATCCTTTTTTAAGTCAGGTGAAGAAATTCATAAACATCACAGCTTAATATATAAGTTTTACTATTACTATTATTACCTCAAGGGGGTCCACATCATGAGCAATGACGACAAGCTGTGCCTTCTTTTGTTCAACAAGTTTTGTGACAGTGTTTGTGCCGGAACGTACAACATTTGGACGTTTCGTGGGTGTGTCTTCTTTGCCCTGGGCTTTAGCTTCAGCACGTGCTTGCAAACGTGCCTTCTTAGCAATAGCAGTCTCCGGCCTGTACTTTTCTAAAATCTTGAACAACTGTGTAGCTAAAAACATGGAATAAAATACTTTTAACAAGCGTTTATGATAAATATAATGTTAAATGTATCATTTATCCCTCAGAGTTGCAATTGGTGGTAGCAAAGTTTGTCTGCATAACATTGTAAGATAGCAAATACTAAAATCATCATGTACATAACCTCAAAACCTACAAAATGTGTCTTTTATCCTCACCTGTTTGTTTATCCAAAGTCTGCGTGAACTGGTTGATTGGTGGAGGGACCTTCAAACGCTTCTGCAAAACGCTCTTTTGGCGTTGGATTCTGATGTATTTGGGCCATCTCACGCATCTGGATAAGTCTCTGGTTGGCTGGATATCCTGACCTGAGAAGATTCACCTTTAATTAAATAAATGTACTTAAACCACGACTGTTGGGGCTTAAACCGAGTTGTGTCAGTATTAAAAAGCTCGTATTTGTAGTAATCATTACTATCAGAGTAAAAAGATCATCATAAGGAAAAATTATCACACCTAACCTCAAAGTTTTGGTAAATTTATATTTTACTAAATAAACACTTTAGGAAGTCAATTATATGTAAATACCGATTCCAAAGTTCCTTGTTCTCTTCTCGAACAAAGGATTCACCAACTTTTTGGGTTCAGACTTCTTCACAGCCAAAGGGGCGGCTGCCACTTTCTTTCCGACCTTCTTCTTAGGCTACAAAAAAACACAAACAAATATAAAAACCAAACTCCAAAGCACTCCTACACTTACACTTAATATCCTAATCAGTATTAAAAAGCTCGTATATATATAGTCATCAATTGTAAACAGACATAAGTTTCACATCATGTGTAAACGCTAACAAAACATAAAAATCTTGCTAACATTTTATACTATAATCATTTATTTATACTTTATCGCACTCACCTTCTTTTGAACCATATTTAAGCCGAAAATAGGCACCGATGAATAAGGATTTCAATAGATTTAACAATTTCTTTTATAAGAGCGTTTGGAGCACGTCTCCGTCTGACGAGACGTCTTGGTAGAAGGAAGTGCTGATGCGAAGTTGGCAGTGTGGTGTGAAGTTCGAAACAAACTTGGCGGCAAATTTGAAATGATAAATGAAATAAATGTAATTTGAGGTGATAAATATGTGTATTGATATATTATTGTAATAAATATATAAAGTAGTGTGTTAAAATGTGTTTGTTGAGTTTAAATAAATGTTTTAGATTAAATAAATATTTATGTTTTCATTTCATTCAGGCTATGGATTCAGCTGTCAAATATGGCGGTAAATATGAAAACGAAATAAAAAAAATAGATAAATTAGATGGAATTATATAATAAAAAATGTACTAATATAGTATTACATTAAACAGATATAGTAAATTTTATTTATATAGTTTAAATAAGTATATTTGACTAAAAAATATTTATGCACATAGTTTGAGCTGTCAAATATGGCGGCAAATATGAAAACGAATTAAGAAACTGAAAGAAATGCAAACACCAATAATTTGCTTAGTATTTAAATAAAACATTTGTGCACACACAAATATATCATTTAAATATAAAAAATTTAATTATTAATATAATTAAATATCATTTATTCAAATTCAAATTACATCTGTGAAGTTAGCGCCAGTCCCTCTCTCCAAGTGACAGTTCCTCACAACTCTTGAAGTCTGAGATTAAATATGTCATTATTATTATTATTATTATAATATCTGTGTAATTATTAATTATTAGTTTATAATGGCAACTGCAACAGCAACTAAACCTCAAGATTTACCACCAGAAGGAGGCTACAAACCCATTAATTTCAAGAGGGTCCCTGCGAAAACATTCTTTTCTGGTATTGTATGGTGTTATGTCATACAAGAATTGTAATAATATAATAGATAAATGAAATAATAATAGTAATATATCTTATATTACTATAGTTGATACAATAATGATTGAGGTAGTAGTAAGATTTATTTTAGATACAAGATTATATTGGGTTTGTGTGTAGTATGTCAGGAGTACTTGTATAGGTTATTTATACTATGGCTCATAAAAACTAGTCAGATTTATGTACAAAGCTTTAGCAAGTGCTTTATGAATGGTTCTTAGTAGTTTTATATATATATATATATATATATATATATATATATGTTATTTATTAGGATTGTAGTTCATTATAAAATAGTATCGTAAACAGGTTTATCGTTGCCTAAAGTATATTCAACACTTGTATACTGAATAAAGCAAGAACGAACTAGATACAAATATTGCTTTAGGCATTTCATATATATATATATATATATATATATATATATATATATAGTAAAAAATAGATAAAATTTACAAAAATCTAGTAAAAACTGTTTTATGCACTTGGGTCTTAAAATTTTGAATAATTTGTAGTTGAATTGTGGATTTTAGCATTTGATAAATAGTGCCATGTGAATTTAGGAAATTTTTTTTACATTTCTTTATAACTTGAAATATTCTTCCTGGATATTTTTATTCCTGGACATCAGTAAAAACTAGATAAAATTTACTAAATTATAGAAGAAAACTGCTATATACACTTTAGTATCAAAATTTTGTATAATTTGTAGTTAAAATGCAAGTTTCAGCATTTTGATAATTTATCATATATGAATTCAGAACATTTTTTTACGTTTATTCAAATAACTTTTAATTTTCTTCACGGACTTTATAATTTATTTATATCAGTAAAAACTAGATAAAATTTACTAGAATCTAGTAAAACTCGTTATATACACTTGCACATTGAAATTTTGAATAATTTGTAGTTAAAATGCGGACTTTAGTATTCCTTTAATGCAAATTTGGACATTTAGTACCTATTTTTTTTCCATTAACTAAATTTAATGAAGAATAAATAAATCTATGAATATTAATAAAAATACTTAACTTAATATCAGAAAATAATTGCTTCTTAGTCTTATAAGTATTTTGTAAATTTTTTTAAATTTTCTTCTTTGTTTCTTTCATAAAATTAATTGGCTTTGATTTTTTGTGATAAGTTAAATATACAAATATTCTAAAAACTGCTGAATGATGACACTCATTTACTGCCAAAACGTACATAAGTACAATTATTTATAAGAGAAGGCGGTTTTAAATAAATTCTCATTCTTATTTATTAAGAATATTATTTTATCCTAAAATAAGATAGCAAACATATCTAACAAGATCTGCCATTAATATTTTATTAAAAAAATATAATGAAATAAAAAATATTTCCAAACTTCAAATTTTTTTATCTTAAAATTCAAATTTCAAGTTTTTCGTTATTTTTTCAATTTCGACAACTCTTATTTTTTTTAAAATTATTTTACTAAAAATCATTCCAGACATTTTAATTTATTTACATTAGTAAAAACTTTCAATATTTATTAGAACAATAAATAATGATTTATTTATTTATACGTTTTGACACGTTTGTGTGTCATCATTCAGCAATTTTTTTTATTTAATATAAACAGTATCTAAAAGAATTTTTACAAAGTTTAAAAAGATTAAATTTAAAATATATTATGGATTAAAAGAAATTAAACAAGCAAAAAAAACACAAAAAATTAAACTAGCATTATTTATTGAATGATGACACACATTCCGTGTCGAAACGTATAAATAAATAGATCATTATTAATATTTATTGTTCTTTTAATTCGACGACTGGCTGCAAATTAACATTTCAAGAATATGTCTTAACGTCGAACAAAGGGTGGTCCTCGATATGGACAATTTCGAATTACTTTGCTCCCAAGGGTTCAAATCCTTTCAAATTAATAAAAAAAATTCACTAAAAGTTTTAGCTCTTAATATTACCATTTAGATAGTCCGCAATTCAATTAAGTTTCGTAAACTTATTATTAAGTAAATTCTTGCGCCATCTGTGAAAGCAGACTTGTAATTTCGAAGGCAATTTATTACTGATAATTTTCGCGTCAAAATCACCATTTAAATAAATATTTTGTTGCAAAATTAATTTTGATGCCATGATGAATAAATATTTTGTTAAACAGTTCACATGGATTCAATTAGTGGTCAAGTGTTTTATAAATATTTTTACGTGTCGTAATATTTGAGTTATGCTATCACAGATGGTGCAAGAATGTATGGTAATAATGGATATACGAAACTTTTAATTGAATTGCGGACTGTCTAAATGTTAATATTGAAAGATAAAACTTTTAGAGGATTTTTTTGTATTAATTTGGAAGCGTTTGAGCACTTGGGATCAAAGAAATTCGAAATGTCCATATTAAGGACCACCTTAATATATATATATATATATATATATATATATATATATATACTAGATGACCCGACAGACGTTGACCTGTACCTATGTCTACAATTTTTAATATAATATACTAATATTTACCGTTTACCTAAAAATAATAATTATTGCTTTTCAAAGTACTCTTCTAGCCAAAATGCATATACATTTATAATATGAACGATGTTAAATGTAGAACTGCTTTAAATAAAATGATGAGTCTCAATTCCCACACTATATTGGAAATTGAAGTCGTTTAAATTGTATAACATAACCATAACCATAACATAACACTGGTACTTCATGTTGGATTAAATTAATTTAATTTTTTATTATTTAAGATATACAAAATTGCACCTTAAACTTCTCCTAATCGATATCGTGAGGGCCGATTTGTATGTATTCATCTTTACTTTCACATTTATTGTTATAAAGTGAAATTTTTACGAATTTTAAAAATATTGTGGAAAGATTAGTAAAAGATGCAAAGAAATTATATATTGAAAAAAAAAACTATATTAAAAATATAATATCCGAATCTTGTGTTGACGCCCCTAAGGCGTGCGCTCGTATTTTTCGCAAAGCGTCGCATCAAAGGTAGGATCGGCCCTGATTAATACCTAATTTCATATTTTAAGTGAATTAATTTGTCATATCATGTTCATATGTGTATCATTCAATCTGTCATACATACACTGTATTTTATATTATTTCAATTTCTGGCACATCTCAGTCATAAGTTTATTTATTAATATGTATATTAATTTAGAAGGTTATTTATTAATATGAATATTCTAATATTGTCTAGCTAGGTTCATAAGTAAATTGATATTTTTGGCAGAATATAGTTTTCATTTATTTTCAATGCAAACAATGACATGTCGTTTTTTGCAATTTTTTTCCATTTATTTCTACAATATTGCACATACATCCCAGTACTTTATAATCACATACATGCTAGAAAATTTCTTCAACAAAGTTCAGAAAGGTTTATCAAAATCCGAATAATCGTTTAGGAGGAGTATACAGTGAGTGCTCGTAATTTAATATGGACTTTATATAATAGCAATAACGCTCAAATTGATTCTACGTTTTAGTTAGAAAACGTTTGTATGTGAAAAAGAAAAGGGCTGTTTTTCCGGAAATTATTCGATTTTTTCTTATCGTAAGAACCATCCTTGGACTTCAACGAACATTTTAAAAAATGAATTGACCAAATTGGTCCAGGCGTTGTTGAGTTATGCGCTTACCAACACATTTTGCGATCCTTTATATATATATATATATATATATATATATATATATAAATAAATAAATAAATAACTATTTTTTCCCAGGTATCACTTGTTTCGGCATATTAGCCGGAGTAACATGTGCCAGTTGCTACCTCTACCTCCAAAATTGGAAGGATGTCCGTAGAGAAAAACTAGAAATGCGATCAGGACGAATTGCCCTGCACCCTTTGCTCCTGGCCGAAAGGGACCGCGAGTACTTGAAACAAATCAGACGAAACCGGGACGAAGAGGCCAGATTGATGGCAAATGTTAAAGGATGGGAGGTACGGAGGTAAAAAATATATGATTGTATATTATTTTTAATGTTTGTACTTTTATATTTAGGTCGGTAAATTATACAACGAGCCTGTGTACAAAACTGTGCCGAAAGACGCATTTGTGCAGCCTTCGTTCACAGAATTCTACATCCATGCCGACTATGCTGCTAAAGCTGACCGCAACGACTTGCAATTCTGGCATTAATATAATGTAGAAATATCTATAGCAAAGTTGTAGATAATTTTATTATTAAATAAACGTATTTTAGTCCAACGTCAAAAAGAAACTACTCATTTTCTCAAACTTTGATGAATTTTTAAAATTAAACTACTTGTCGTAAAACCGTAATATTTCAGTAAGTTCTATAAGTATATATATATCGCCAAAAAAAGTTCCGTGAAAATCGGCTTAAATTTTTTTTTCAACAGTTAATTACAAGAAAACGGCTCGGTAGATTTTCACCTAAAACTAATCAGTATTATTCCCAACTGATATCTTTCGAACAGTTTTTGATTTTTTAAAATCGGTTCGGTAGTTTGAGGTTAAATGTGAACAAAAAGTTTAACACTTTTTTTCACATTACAAAGAAACGGCTCGGCAGACCGTCTCACAAAACTGACTGAGATAGTCCTCATTGAGATACATCAAATTTAAATTTCTAAAATCGGTTCAGGCGTTTTTGAGAAAACGTCGATCAAAGGTCTAATGTTGACAAATGCCAAAAAAAATATACTAATTTTTGCAAACTTTGAAGAATTTTAAAAATTAAACGGCTTATCGTGGGGCCGTGATATTTTAGTATAATCTATAAGACTATGGTATCTACCGTCAAAAAGAAATCATAAAAATCGTCGAAATTTTTTTTAAAAAAACTTTATTGCAATAAAACGGCCCGGCCGATCTCTACCAAAAACTAATCAGCACGATTCCCAACCAATATCTTTCGAACGGTTTTTGAATTTTCAAAATCGATTTAGAATTGCGGGCTAAAACGTGGACAAAAAACTTTTCACTTTTCTGCGATTTATAAAGAAACGACTCGGCTGATCGTTGCGCAAAATTGAAAAATGATAGTCCTCATCGAGATACATCGATCGGCTTTTAAATTTTTGAAATCGGCCCAGCCGTTTTCGAGAAAACGTCGATTTACGGCAAAAAATCTGTTCACACACACACACAAATACTTTTTCCTTAAATTCGGTCCAATTCGATTCAGAATGGCTTGAAACGTCGAGAAAACATAAAACTAGCAAGTCGGATTTTCTGATGAAAACATAAACTTCTCCTTCGAGATGTTAAATTTTTTTATGTATCTTTACGTTTCAGAGGTTTCTGAACATTTCGGTGTGTGTGTGTGTGGATACAAATTTTCGTCGATGATTTTTAGAACACGAGTCAACCTATTTGAATAATTCAAAAAACATTCGATTCGTATTGATAAGGAGACGGCACTTTTTGCACCGTATCTTCGAAATTCTCGGACCTGCCTTCGCCAAAAACTAATCAGCACGTCCCCATAATCTCCAATATTTTAAAAAAATAATTTTTCTACACTAATTTAAGATTGGATTCTTTGTCAAGATAAATAATAAGTTACTATGATTGTTCAGTATTGTTATGTAAAACAATGTGATGCTTCTATAGTATTTTCAAACTTCGAAACGTTTTCGAAAAATAATATTTTATAATTGTATTAAGAAGCAAAAATATTTAGTAATTATCATAATTATTATGTATAAAGTTAGACAAAAATAAAGATTAAGCAGATGTAATCTGTATGATATAAAATATTTTGGCGCAAATATCACTTAAAAAAACGTTACATTTTTACAAAAGATGAAACAAACATCATTATCTATCAGTCCAATTCTATTTATTGTAACACGATATGAAGCCCTTTGGAAAGCAATAAATATTCAGTTTAATGACGAGTTGAGATAATATTTGATATTTGTTTATCTGATAGAATCACTTGAAGATATAGCTGTTTATGCGATTATGGAATTTAAAGATAAATTTGTTCAGAGAAATTTAAACTTTAGGGTATTATGTATCAAATAGCGCTTATGTAAAAATACCGAAAATATCGGTATTTTTGGGGTAAATACCGGTAAAAATACCGTCGAAAAATCGGGCGGTTTACCGGTAATGCATTCCCTACAACTCGCCCTACAGGAAAAGTTAATAATGAAACTGTAAAATACACAAAAACAAATAATTCTTTTAATTCAATTATCCCCTTTATTAAAATGCTGGTTGACTTTTTCTCCAGCTCTTAGGCCCGAGTTTGTTCACTCGAGCCCTGTACAAATGCGACATTACAAAATACATTCCAGGTATTATCATAAAGAGCAAATAGATTCTTAAAAACGATGGAAGATGGAATGCGAAATTCCAACTGTTTGGCAATGAGACTGTGAATTTTTTGGTCTCTTCGAAATATGGTATGCATCTTAATACTATTATACCTTCGCATAGGACTCCTAAGGGAAATAGGGGTATCCAGATCGTGTACCTCAACCAGGTCAACAGGGCGATGTCTTTTTTGTACAGTTGTGATATGTAGTAGGGGTATCTGGAAAAAATAGAAAGGGGAAAAATTATTAGAAAGTGAAAAAAAAAATGCTTTAAGGGGGCGTCCATTGATCGACTTTTTAAGAATATTTGGAAACCCCTCAATTTGAAAAATTCAGGTAAAAAAAAAATTACACGTGATATCTTACTATACCCCTCCCTCCCCCACGTAATATTTGGTGATTTTTTGTCACACTTTCCTAGTTTTATTAAAAACCTCACGTGATTAATGGACCCCCTTTAAAATAAATTTAAAATACAATAAAATTCCTATATGATGAAATATTTAGGTTTGATGAAATATTGATAAATGTTTTATATATGAATATTTTTTAACAAAACAATATAAATTTAAATTACTAGGAAAAAAATTAACGAGTGAATTGTTTTGTTAAAATAAATCATGAAATATTTCATTACATACATACTATATTAATTATAATTATTGCCTACATTTTTATTATCATTTTATTTTTATAGTTCTTTCAATATTTAATTCAATCTATTTCCATTACTTTTGTTATGCATAATTTTTATTTTTATTATTATTGATATTAATTTACTTCAATTTTTTGTGTTATTCTTTTTTCATTATTGAAAATTTCGATATCCAAGTGTATAAAACAGGTTTTACAAGATTCTAGTAAATTTTATCTAGTTTTCACTGATGTAAATAAATTAAAATGCCTGGGAAGAAAATTTGAAGTTATTTGAAGAAACGTAAAAAAATGTCCTAAATCTATATAAGGCAAATTATCAAAATACTGATATCCGGATTTCAACTACGAATTTTTCAAAATTTTGATATACAAGTGTATATAGTAGTTTTTACTAGATTTTAGTAAATTTTATCTAGTTTTTACTGATGTAACTAAATTAAAATGTCCGGGAAAAAAAATTAAAAGTTATTTGAAGAAATGTAAAAAAATGTCCTGAATTCATATTCGACAAATTATCTAAATACTAAAGTCTGCATTTCAACTACAAACTATTCAAAATTTTAGTATTGAAGTGTATACAACAGTTTTTACTAAAATTTAGTTAAATTTATCTAGTTTTTACTGATGTTAATATATTATAATGTCCAGGAAGAAAATTAAAAGTTATTTCAAGAAATGTAAAAAAATGTCCCGTTGCTAATTAAATTAAAAGAAAATAGCTAATTATGAATACCATAAATTTAAATCTACAATACAAATTATTGCAAATTTCAATATTCAAGTGTGAATCAATAAATAATCTGCTTCATAAAGAAAATCTTCATCTTAAATTTAAAGTTAAATGACTTATTCTTGTAGAAATCTATTTAATAAGGCGTAAAAAACAAATATTGAATAAAATAAATAAGAATAATCTAGTAAATATAAAAGTTCAAACAAATATTAAATAATATAAATGAGAATAAATTAGTAAATATAAAAGTTCTTTCCTCTACAGGCTTTATAAATAATTTAACTTGATTATGAAGAATTAACGTATTTTTTAAAAAAGTAAAAAAAAAAGTTTGTTTCTAAATTTATGAAATTGGACAAAATTTGTTGTGTGAAAAAAAAGATGCAAAAAAAAAATTACATTGATCTTGCTGTCTTCATAACATAAATTAAATATTGATTATAATTAAAATTTAATTTTATTATTATTTTTGTAACTTGAAGTTTTTTAATTCTTTTAATATTTATTTTTATCACTTTCTTCTGTAATTCATAATTTTTCATCATTATTTACTTGACTACAAATTATTCAAAATTTCAATATGCAATGTACATATATAAGAATTTTTACTATAGAGTCTAGTGAATTTTATCCAGTTTTTATTTAGTTACTAATGTAAATAAAATATAGAGTCCAGGAAGAAAATTAAAAGTTATTTGAAGGATTATAAAAAAATGTCCTAAATCCATATATGGCAAATTAGGAAAATACTAAAATCCGCAATTCAACTATAAATTATTCAAAATTTCCATATGCAAGTGTATAAAACAGTTTTTACTGCATTTTAGTAAGTCATATCTAGTTTTTACTTATGTATACAAATTAAAATGTCGGGGAACAAAATTAAAAGTTATTTGAAGAAATGTAAAAAAATGTCCTAAAACCATATATGGCAAATTAGGAAAATACTAAAATCCGCATTTTAAATACTGATTATTCAAAATTTCGGTATACAAGTGTATAAAACAGTTCTTACTAGATTCTAGTAATTTTTATCTAGTTTTTACTAATATATACAAATTAAAATGTCTGGGTAGAAAATTAAAAGTTATTTGAAAAAATGCAAAAAAGTGCTAAATTCATATATTGCAAATTAAGGAAATACTGAAATTTGCATTTTAATTACAAATTATTCAAAATTTGAATATGCAAGTGTATAAAACAATTTTTACTAGATTTTGATAAATTTTACTGATTCACTGATGTAACTAAATTATAATGTCCGGGAATAAAATTTCGAGTTATTTGAAGAAATGTAAAAAATGTCCTATCGTTATTATAATATTGAAGTCTGCATTTCAACTAAAAATTATTCAAAGTTTTAATATCCAAGTGTATACAACAGTTTTTACTAAAATCTAGTAAATTTTATCTAGTTTCTACGGATGTAACTAAATTAGAATGCCCCGGAAAAAAATTAAAAGATATTTCAATAAATTGTGGGAGTAGTAATGAATATGATAGTATAAACTCCACTTGTATAAAAATATATAAAATTTATTCATTATAAAAATTAGTGATAAATAAAATGACAAGTCCGATTGTTTTCTCTCCCATGACTAGCCTGCTTGATTCCCACAAAATGTTAAAAAATGTCCTAAATCCATATATGTCCACTTTCATATATGGCAAATTATCAAAATACAAAAGTCCGCATTTCAACCACAAATTATTCAAAATTTTAATATGCAAGTGTATAAAACAATTTTTTCTAGACTCTAGTAATTTTTGTCTAGTTTTTACTAATGCAACTAAATTATAAAGTCCAGGAAGAAAATTAAGAGTAATGTAATAAAATGTAAGAAAATATACTAAACCTAAAATGACCTTAATCAAAAATTAATTTTAATTTAAACATCTAAATATGTTACTAAACAATTTTTATTAAATTCTAATGAATTTTATCTCCTGTAATTTTTCTTACCTTATCAATTCTATCAGCGCCCAAGCAAAAAACAGATAAAACACAACCGGCTTCGTCTGCATCCTGGGTTCACTTTCAATCATACAAAAAAGTATGAAAAACCTTCCAGTAGTCTGCATCATAGGCGTCATGATGCCTCCTTTAGTATACCCAAACAACGGATGCATAACTTCCAAAAACTGTAACAACTGGCAAAACCTGAAAGCCCCACCGACAGCCGAATAAGTACCGGGCATCGATTCTGGTCCGTCTCTGCAATATCTTACAAACATCACTAGTGATATGTAACAGAATCCGATGAATTGGAGGAAATTGTAAACGACTAGGTATACTTTTTTCATATCTTCTGGAAAAAAAAAAAATTATATAAGATAAAGGATTGATGGGGGTAATGGGGTAATGGAAATATTTGCAGTGCCTTTAATGTATCCGTATTCTTCTTTGTGTAGTTTTTTGTACATTTCGGGATAGTCTTGCATTATGTCTAGTTTTTCTTTTATTAGGAAGTTTGGCGAATGCCAATTGTCAATGTCGACCTAGGATAAAATATAAGTATATATATATATATATATATATATATATATATATATATATATATATATATATATATATGTATATTTACTTTTAACCAAGCAGGTTTTTGTGGATGACAGGTTAGTCTGGGCCACCATTCGTTTATTGACTTTTTCAGCACAAATTCAATCGTATTTGGCAAAATTTGATAATTAGACTTCTACAAAACAAGAAAACACAAACATTATAAATTCATAACCACAATTTTTCATCTACAATTATCATATTTTCATTTACTTACTTGAGGATCAATCCCTGAGTAAAACACCAACTCAAAACTATATCTATTCGACTTGGATTTAACATAAAAATCTAAATGACTTTCACTTAAACTAATATTAGGATCCTGAAACAAACAAAAAGTATTTTAATATAAATTCTTTTACTATAAATAGAATGTCACTAACTTTTATATCGGATAAATCGACTTTCAGAGTGATTTTTGATAAGTTTTGCGACCAGTATACAATCGGGTTTGAATTTAAAACCATTTCATAGTTTGTTTAATGAATTATTCATGTATTTTGGTCAAAATATTATTTGTGAAATGTAAACTTGACACCGGTCGATATTTTTGTAGATGGTGTTGCCAGAGATAATAGAAATAAATATAAATGTAAATAAATAAATGTTCATAGTATTAGTTACCTGTATTTTATTTAAATAAGTAAATTTGTGTACTAGTAGTTTATTTAAACTGTTTTATTCAAAATTTGTTGATTTCTTGATGAACTGTCAAATAACTTCTTTCAACTGTCAAAAGCGACATGAAGTTGTCAGTTATTAACTGTCAAACCATTTGAAATCAAATATAAATATATTTATTACATTTAAATATTAACAATAAAAATATAAACGTATACGCAAAATAATTTATTTAACAAACTCAATGTGCTTTCTATATATTTTATTTTTAATAGTTTGTTTAAAAGCAAACCTATCAATAATCAACAGTCAAGTGGCCATTATTGCGAAACCAATTGTTAAATTAATTGAAACAGCAAATATTTATATATTTATATATTGATTATATAAATTTAACCAATTTAACGGACTTAACTGTTATAAGTTCTATATAAACTATAAAATTTACGTCAAAGTTCATTTAAAATTTTGAATTTACCGCGAAACTGTCAAATGGCTTCTTGCAACTGTCAAACTTGAGCGACATGAAGTTGTCCATTAACGAATTAATACGAATTTAAATGTTAAATCAAATGTAATATAAATATAGTAATAAAAATAATATAAACATATTTAATTTAATTTAACAACATATTATCTATCTGCTTTATCATTATAATTATTATTATTACTATTTTTGTTTACATTTAACCTAAACCTGTCAATTACAAACTGTCAAGTGACGCAGAAGCAAATGTCAGATCTTATGTGATTGCGAATTGCGATTTTGTTTTGATAATGACATAAAAACGTAATTGGCAAATTGTTTGATTAAATTTTTGTTAAATAACGAGTAAAATAATGGCACTTTATCGTCTGACTAATAATTGTTTGCGTAGGAGCTTGAGTACTCCTGTGGCATTGTATCATGCCAAGGTAAGTAGAATATGTAGTTGTTTTGTAAGTTCTAACCAAAGGATAAAAGAAGTCTTTGAAATTAAATTAAGTACTCATAAAAATATCACAAATGTCAAATTTAGTAATTATAGCATTTATATTTCAAACCCTATAAAATTTTGTACCAAATTCTTACTAAAAGTTGTTATTTGTACCTACAAGGTTTTTCTAACCTAAAAATACTTAAGGCTTATATCATTTATGTATTTTATTTATATTTTAAGGTGGTGGATCATTACGAGAATCCAAGAAACGTAGGAGCTTTGGATAAAAATTCCAGCAATGTCGGTACAGGGCTTGTGGGAGCACCCGCTTGTGGTGATGTCATGAAATTGCAAATACAGGTTTGCAAAGACTTAAAGCATTATAATAGAATAGGATAATTAAATAGATAGATAGAATTCAATACATAGATGATCTATGTTTTTATTCCTTTAGGTTGATGAAAATGGAAAAATCATTGACGCCAAATTCAAAACCTTCGGCTGCGGTTCTGCCATAGCCTCCAGTTCTTTGGCCACCGAGTGGGTGAAGGGAAAGACCATCGAGGAGGCTTCTAAATTGAAAAACACAGATATCGCTAAAGAACTGGCTTTGCCACCCGTAAAACTGCATTGCTCAAGTAAGAAATGATAAAAGAAATATTAATAAAACTTTGTATGATAAAAGAGTTACTTGTAGGGCTGTGGAAGCCCAGTGGTTCAATTATATAAAAATTAATTAAAGAAGGAATTATAAAAGATTCATAAATTTAAGTATTGATTTTTTAATTAAGTCGACAAAAAGGTCGGAAATTTATACTTTTAACGAATTTGTATTAACCAAGTCTAAAGAAGTTTTACTTCAAAAAATTTATATTCTAAATAATATCGCATGTGGGGTATCTTTTAAAAGGCCTCGACGAGTAGAAAATGATTTTTTATAAAAAAAGAGTATAATGTAATAAAAACGTTATATATACTATCATATTATTATTAAAACATTAAATATTAATTTGTTAAATTTTATCGTGTAAGGTGTGAAGCATTTGCTAAACTTTGCGTAGCAAATTCTAAAATTAACTATGTAATTTGGCTAAAAAATTTACACTTAATGAATTTGTATTAAACGAGTCTAAAGAAGTTTTACTTCAAAAATTTAGTATCTTTCTTTTATGGCATGTGGGGTATCGTTTGAAAGGTCTGGATGAGTAGAAAATGATTTTTATGAAAAATGAGTATATAGTACTATAACCGTAGTTATATTACCATATTATTATTACAAAAAAATATTAGTTTGTTATATTTTAATGAACAACTGTTTAAATGTATAAGATGTAGGAGTTTTGTAGCAAATACTAAAATTAACTATATGATTTGTCCAAGAAAATTACATTTTTAATAATTTTTATTAAACGAGTCTAAAGAAGTTTTACTTCAAAATTTTTTGTTCCTATCCTTTACGGCATGTGGGGTATCGTTTAAAAGGTCTCGACGAGTAGAAAACGATAGTGCAAAAAATATTGTTATAAAATATTACTTAGTTCTTTTCCTTTCCAGTGTTGGCAGAAGATGCAATCAAGGCAGCCCTGTCCGATTACAAAATCAAGCAGCAGAAAATGGAAGCAAAGTCATCCTAAATCTTGAATCATCCCCTACAGCTCTCGTAGTCAAGTTGTAGTCTAAAAAAAAAAACAATATAGTAATTAGTTTTTAATCTCTAATTGTTGCTTTTTAATTGTGAAGGATGTAAAACAATATTATTAATTTTGTATGTGATAAATGTTATAGGTTGTTGAAGAATGGAATATATATTTATGTACAAATAATGTGTGAGTTTTATTCGTTTATTATTACATAATATGTATGAAGACAAATTATTGTTGATATGATATTTATTGGATATCATAAAATATAATTGATTAGTTTTAATTGATTATGGCAATTAATTAATTGGTTTCCTCGAAATGTATACTTTGTATTCAAAGTATACGGGTTTTAAATTAGCTTAATCATGTTTATTATTATGTAATATTTATTTACATTCTAATATTGTAATTTTATTGTATAACAAATTAATTTATTTATATATATAAAGGTTATTATAATAATAATCAAATAATTGAAAATAACTAGTGGTGTATATGGCATTGTGCCTTAAGGCAAATTGCTGAACTTGCCTTACCGGAAACTAAATTATTAAAAAAAAACTTTGCAAAACTTTAAAAAAATCACATTTTTGAGAAATTTTCAAATTATTGAAAATAAAATTGACTTTTTTAAAAAAATTGAATTTTTTTGTATTTTTTTTTTTAATTTTGAACCTTTTTTTTAAGCAAGCGCGCTGAACACACAAATACATCCATCTTTTATAAGAAATGCCAAAATGTTCAGAAACCTTTGAAACGTAAAGATACCCAAAAATTTTCATTATCGATTTTCTTACGATTTGTATAATTTACCCTACAAAAAGTTAAAAAAAATACAAATTAAATATTAAATAAAATAAATCACAATTATGTACGTTTCGGCGCTGTATGTGTGTCATCATTGGATCAAGTGTTAAATTAATGCTAATGTTAAATTAATGCTAAGTTTATAAAAATTAAAAAAATTATAAATATAACAATTTTAATAAACAAATCAGAAAAAACAAAATTATATACATCGTTTTATGAAAAGAAAATAAAGCTTGAAATAAAATAAAATGTAAAAGTATAATAAATTAAAAAAGTGAAGTGATGTATATTAAATTAGTTACAACCTTCAGTATTTTTTAAAATTTCTATAAACTTTAGGCAAATTTTTGTTACAACTTGTTAACTTGCTAAATGATGGCACACATACAGCGTCAAAACTTGCGATAACATTGGTGTATTTTACGGCAGAAACGGCCACTTTATTTAGTCTTTAAATTTTGGCTCACATATTTTATTTTTAGTATCAAAATATTCAGAATGACTAGAAACGTCGAGAAAATATGAATTTATCAAATTGGATTTTCAGGCAAAATTCGGGAAATTAAAAATGTAAAGAATTTCCAAAATTTGATATATTTTAAAATGACTTTTTTTGAATGAGTTCTACCAGAAAATTTTTTGAAAATATTACATAGTTCTTTATAAATGTATATTTTAAAAATTTCAATAGTCCTAACAAAATATTGAAAAGTTACAAAATTTCAAAATTCTGAACAAAATCATCAAGTGTGTAAAATTATTAAAGTGTAATGTATGCAATTTTCTAAAAATATTTAACAAAAATGCAAATATCCTTAATAATAAAAATTTACGCTGGCCCTGCCATCGTAAAAATGTAATATATCCTTTCTACATCAATACGAATCGAATGGTTTTTGAATCATTCAAATCGGATACTCCGTTCTCTTAAAAACTCGATTTCTCTTGATTGCACTCTTTGCTCTATATCTCCGTAACGGCTAGATCTGCCTTTGGCAAAAACTAATCAGCACGTCTTCCTATCAATAGGGATCGAATGTTTTTTAAATCATTCAAATCGGTTAATCTATACTCCCCTTATCGTCAATGAAAAATTGTATCCGCACATACATACACGTACATGCATTTTTTCTGAGGCATTTCAAAATGTTCCGTATCTCAAAAATTGTTTGACCTATCTTTCCAAAAAACTAATCAGCAAGTCTACCCATAAATAAGAATAGAATGTTTTTTGAATCATTCAAATCGGTTGATCCGTGATCTCGTAATTGTCGATGGAAGTTTCTATCCGCACATACGTACACAGACACACACAACCCTGTAAACAATTTTATATTGCCGTTAGGTTGCGGTTATATAAAAATGTTACCTAGTTATATAACGTCAACCTCACCGTCCCTAAGGAATTTTATTACCTGAAGGTAACTATTTCCTACCTTGTTAGTTAACTTGTTATATAACATTGTTAGGTTGCGGTAATATACGGTAATGTACATATGCGATATTTGCAATGCTTTTAATTTATGCGTAAATAATTGATTTTTCTCTAAAAAAAAAAGATTTACTCATATTTCATTGTATTTATTATTTAAAATTAATATTTTACAATAAACAAAGTAGCAACAAATATTTTATACTAAATAGAACAGTAACAAATATTTCATAGTAAACAAAATAGCAACAAATATTTTATAACAAATAGCAACAAATAATTTGTACTAAACAAAACAGTAACAAATATTTTATAACAAACAAATAGCAACAAATATTTTGAACTAAACGAAACAGTAAGTATTTTATAACAAATAAATAACAGCAAATATTTGTTGCTATTGTTTATTATAAACTATTTTGTACTAAACAATTGTACTGTAGAAAACAGTAATATATTGCTGTTTTGTTTAGTTCAAAATATTTCTTGCTATTTGTTTGTTATAAAATATTTGTTACTGTTTTGTTTAGTACAAAATATTTGTTACTGTTGTGTTCAGTTCAAAATATTTGTTGCTATTTGTTTGTTATGAAATACTTAAGTATTTGTTTGTTTGTTATATATTTGTTAAAATACTTATAAGTATTTTATAAGAAACAAATAGCAACAAATATTTTGAACTATAGAAAACAGTATCAAGTATTTTATAACAAATAGCAACAAATATGTTGTACTAAACTACTAGCACCAAATATTTATAAGTATTTTTAACAAATATATAACAAACAAACAAACAAATACTTATTAGTATTTTATAACAAACAAATAGCAACAAATATTTTGAACTGAACAAAACAGTAATAAATATTTTATGACAAACAATTAGCAACACATATTTTATACTAAACAGAACAGTAACAAATATTTTATAACAAACAAAAAGCAACAAATATTTTGAACTAAACAATACAGTAATAAGTATTTTATAACAAATAGCAACAAATATTTTGAACTAAACAATACAGTAATAAGTATTTTATAACAAACAAATAGCAACAAATATTTTATACTAAACAGAACAGTAACAAGTATTTTATAAGAAACAAAATAGCAACAAATATTTTATACTAAAGAGAATAGTAACAAATATTTCATAAAAAGAATAACAACATTATAATAAAGAAAATAGCAACAAATATTTTATACTGTATAAAACAGCAACAAATTTTATAAAGCAATAATAAACTTCATAACAAGACAGTAATAAAAAACAATATAATAAACAATACAGCAACAAATATTTTAGACGATACATAAAATTTATATCAATTACATTTATTTTTTGTTATTTACACAATGAAAAACAAAATAGTAATCTATTAAACAAAAAAAAAATAACATAATAAACTAGAATATTTTAAATGTTAAAAATAACAATATTAAATATGTTATAATAAACAGTAACAAATATTTTTCGAAAACAATAACAAAAATATAAAATTTATATTCATTACAATTATTAATTTCATATTTTCAAATGAAACACAAATTGAATATAAAACTATTTTTAAATGATAATTAATAATAAAGGATGGAAATAAAAATATCTAGTTTTGGTCTAACTATTAACCTAGCTATCTCGACACACCAATATACAGAAACTTTATTACATAACTCCAAATTAGGATGACAATTTTCAAATACAATTATATTTTTTTGCAAAGAAACAATACAACTATTAGAATTATAGTTGAGCATTATTAAGCTTTGATTTTTTCTTATCGAGATACTTCCAACATCTTCATTTTCAATATTCACAATTTGTCTTAATTCCATCGTAGCCCATATGTACTATTCCACCTTAAAAACAAATGAGAAAGGTTAAAACAGAATTTATAATAGTAATTAGTTAGCAAGAACTATGCCATATACCTTTCATTCATTCCTTGTTTTGCTGTTAAAACCCTCTCGATATTCTTTCATATTAATCACATATGTTATTCGAGGCAATTTAGGATTTAAACCGAGACTTAGAATCCAATCCTAAAAAGAAATTATTACAATAATAAAATATAAACCTCAAAAGCCATTAAAAATTTAAACAGTTATTTACCTTTAGTATCTTGTAGCATTGTCGAAAACTAAATTTTCATATCCAAATAATAAGCTCTAGTTTTTTTTGAGACATCTCCAAACGCGGGCCTTATAAAAATAATTAGGCTTTTAGCACAGTAACCAACAAATAAATTATACTTACCCTTCATAATATTATATATCAAACAGCACTTCATAGAATTCATTTTGGGGTTATTTCTTATACTCTTTCGATTTCAATGTAGCTGAACAAATTTCACATAAGCAAATATGTAAAGTTATGTATACTATATATTTTTGCATTTTTATTTATACACTTAGCACTCAATATTACAAAATATTTAAAATAAAACAAGACAATACAACCCAACAAAACATCCCCACATATGACAGAGTATAAAATCAAAATGGCGTACAGCGTACAGGCTACAGGGCGCAATGCACTCTGGGAAACCTGACTCCTGATTATGAGTCCCTCTGCCGAAAAAGGAAGACAACCGTTAAACGTTTAAAACGTTTAATCAAATTCAAAAATTTTAATATACTTTTTTGTTATTTTTGTTTGATATTTATAATTCCACGTGTAAATAATATTAGCATTTATTTGAGTTTTTGATTAATTTTATATTTTTCGCTTAATATTCCATAATAAAGTCCTCCGTAATACCTGTACATTTTTATTTTGATATTACTTATAAATATATATCTTTTCTTCCGTATTATTGTTGTATTAATACAAAATTATAATGTTTCAGAAATCACTTAATATTTATATGATCGTAAGTTTTATAAGTAACATCAAAATAAAAATTTACAGGTGTTACAGGTTTATTATGGAATATTAAGCGAAAAATATAAAATTAATCGAAAACTCAAATAAATGTTAATTTTATTTACACGTGGAATTATAAATATCAAAGAAAAATAATAAAAAAATATTATATCTGAATTGAGAATTGAACCCCGGAGCAAAAATTAGAATTCCACGACGATATCCACTCGGCCAACCTGCTGTTGACAACGAATAGCTTGCAAGGTATGCAATACGCACGCTGCTAAAACGCAAACTTTAATTAATTTTTATATTTAAACCGCTTTTCACAAGCCTCTAATATTTTTCCACGGTCAGTTTGGGCATCAAATCTAGCATTGTGCCAAGTTTCATCAAAATCCGAGACGGGCAACGCGTGGATTCTCCTTATAAGTTTTTAAATTTTTTGAAAAAAATAGTTTAAGTAAGTAATTGAAGAAGTTAAAATTCTATTTTTGGAAAACTTAGAAATGTAATTTTTTTTATTTAAAACTTTGAAATTTTTACTATAACTTCCCGTAGTAAGTTATAGTAGTCGCACAAAAATCGAGAATGAAAATTTTGTCGACGTTTCGAGAACAACATTCGATTCGTATTGATAAGGAGGCGTGCTGATGCAGCCGTTCCGAAGATACGGGGCAAAAAGTGCCCAGGTAACCCAGTTTTTAAGAGAACGAAGCGTCCGAATTTAATAATTCAAGAACCATTCTATGGGTTCCGTAACATCGTTTGTTTGTTTAACAGCAACGCGGCGCTTACGCGCTTCGATATTTCATCTCATAAAAAACATTTTTCTTCTAAAGTTTTTTTTTCAAAAAATTCAATTTTTTTCTAAAATGTAAAATTGTTTAAAAAATTTAATTTTTTCAAAGTTGAAAAAAAAATTTTTTTTTGAAAAAAAAAAATAATTTTTGGTACGGGAAGTATAGTAATTTGCCTTAACGCACGATGCCATACACCACTAGTTAAATCAATCTAATCGGTTGATATAAAATATATATATATATATATATATATATATATATATATCCGTGCTCTATAACTGGCACTATGAAATTTAAAAATTAGATCAATCGATTTTTCATTAAAATATAAATTTGTGGAAAATATTTTCTAACAAAACATTGCACATTTATAACATCAGGTAACAAATGTATATAACTTTGTAACTCCCGATATACATTGCGGTTACATTACACTTAGTTAACATTTGTTATATAACTTTGTAATTTCAAAATACATTGCGCGTACATTACATTTAGTTAACATTTGTTATATAACTTTGTAACTTCAAAATACATTGCGAGTACATTACATTTAGTTAACACTCGTTATATAACTTTGTAACATAAAAAGTTATATTGCGGCAACAAGTAGTGTTTACTGGGAAGCATGTATTTTTTCTAAGGTATTCCAAAATGGCAAGAAGTGAAGATTAATATAAAAATATTTTTGATTTTTATTGCAATTGCTATAATTTACCTTAAGAGAAATTAATTAAGATAAATTTAGATAATATACAGCTTGAATTTTCAGAAAACTTGCAAATATTAAAATGTCTATTTTTTCTAAATATTTTAATATACATTCTAACATTTTCAGAGACTACAAAACATTAAAATTTCTAAAAATTAAAAAAAAAATTCTTAATAGTAATACAAAAGTCATCATGTATCAAAATTTCAAGAACATATATCAATGGTTGCCCCATTAATTATAAGAACAGAATTGACGTCCATCCTAACCAACTAGCATGTCATTTAAACCAGGAAACCGACCAAGCTCAAAAAAATACTTGGAGACCTAATATAGTTTAATTAACTATAATACGTCTTTACTACATTTTATTAGTTTTTTAATTATTTATATTTAATTATATTTTATAGTTATTATTTTAATTATAAACAACTTGTCAGCATTCTCTGCTGAATGTAATTATATATATATAGATTGCCAAATAAAATTAAAATTAAAAAAAAATCCCAAAATATCGAAAATGTAGAAAAAATGCATAAGTTGTAAAACATTTGTGAAACCTCCAGGAATTTCTAAGACTACATATAAAAGTTCCACGAATAAATTTGTTTTCCAAAACTTCCAGGAAATTAAACATTCCCAAAAATCAACATCAAACCAAAAATCCCCGTTCCCAAAAATCCACCATGTACCATCTTTCTACCATCAGCACCAAATTTCCAATCACCCATTCCAAGAAACAAATCATCTTCTCATGAAACTAATCACAATTTCCTTATCTAATTTTATCAATTGGTCTTTTTAATTACCACTACCACTAATAATCGATCGATGCAACTATCAATTGATCGTGATCTATCCCGAGAAGAGTTCACAGATCGCCTTATCACGAAATCTGTGTTATAAAGAACTTTTATGTTTTCATCATCAATCATCCCGATCAATAATTAGAGACAAGGACACCATGATTAGATGTCGTCTTATAAAAGATGTGATTTGGTTGTGGTAGGTATCAGTTGTTATTTGCCAGAAGACGAGAGAAGAAATCCGAGAAATAATCGAGAGGATAAATGAATCGTTTCATAGTAAGTGATACAATGATATATATAATAGTACTAGCAAACCCGACAAACTCCGTTTCGCCACCAGATGGTTTCGTGAGAAAGATGAAGAAATTTCTAGTTTGTTTTATATTTGAAAAGGAAAAATTTGATTTCATTACCTAACAGTAATGAATTTATTTCGATTACAAAAATGAAGTGTTTTTTAGTTAAACTTCTCAAGTAAATGAAAGTGAATCCGCCAATTATCCGTTTCATTGAAGTGCACTTTGATAAACCACATTTTTTGTTTTTTGGTCTGACGTTAACACAAACAAAGCAAATGGTTTTCCAACTCGTATAACAGCCCATGTGAAAAACAATGATTTTCTAAATAATCTATCTGAAATTTATCCCGCAAACACTAAGCTATTGGCCTTGCGACTTGTTATTGCGAACTGGAAATTGCAATCGTTTGAAGTCAAACGGAAGACCAGTCGGAATCATTGGTATGTCACCAAATCGCCAGCAATTTTTGATTGAATGGTGAAATTCAGTGCGTGTACGTCATTATTCTTTGCGGAAAGTATTGCTAGTTGACTTAACCAAGCATAATTCTGATAATTCTCACTAATGTCATCACTCGAATTTTGAATTACGGTGCGTGAAGTTCCAGCAATTTGCATTAAGGCACGATGCCATGCACAACTAATTTTCTGAGCTATAAACTTTTGGGAGCCCGAGACCTTTCCAACGAATGCAAAATTGTCGAAATCGGTTCGTGCGTTCTGGAGTTATATCGTCAGGAAGGAAAACTTATTTTTATATATATGTAGATAAGGTGATTGGGTCAAATTAGATGCACTTGATGGACGTTTCTTTTGTTTTGGTAAAAGATTTATGGTGTGTAGTGTCTAAATCCTGTTTTGTTTTGGAATGGTAAAACTTCCTTATTTAGTTTTCCACATAAAATAATAAGTTTCGTGTATCATTTCTATATGGTAAAATAAGTTTATATAAGTTTAACGTATCCAAGACATATTGGTAATAGTAAATTTGATGTGATAACCTGCTCCTCTCAACTAATCTCATCTTCAAAAGTAAATCTTTTGCAGGTTTTTCTATTTACATTCTGAAGATAATAGGGTCAAACCATTCAGAATTACTTGAAAGGTCAAGAAAATATAAATTTATCACATCGGATTTTCAAGCAAAGCAAAAAAGTTGAAGAAATTAAAAATGTAAAGATTTTTGATAAATTTTAAAATGATTTTTTTATGAATGAGTTCTAACAAAAGTTTCAAAATTTGAAAATAATACATGGTTATGTATATTTTAAAAATTTCAATAGACCTAACCAAATTTTGAAAATTCTGATTTTTAAATAATAAATTTTAAAATTTAAAAATTCTGAGCAAAATCATGAAGTGTGTAAAAATATTGTAAGTGTAGTGTATTAAATTTTCTAAAAATATTTTTAAAAAAGCAGAAAATTCATAATAATAAGAATTTACGCTGAACCTGCCTTCTCAAAAATATCACAAATTTGTTCTCCCATCAATACGAATTAAATGTCTTTTAAATCATTCAAATCGGACGCTCCGTTCTCTCAAAAACTCGATTTCTATTTTCTGCACTCTTCGCTCCGTATCTCCGCAACGGCTGGACCTGCCTTTGCCAAAAATTAATCAGCACATCTCCCTAACAATAGGGCATCTTCATCTCATTCTCATTTTCAAAAGTATTTTTTTTGCAGGATTTTCTATTTAGATTCTGAAGATGATGGGGATAAGCTACTCTTTTAAGTAAATCTTTTGCAAGATTTTTCATTTAGATTCTGAAGTTGATCAGGATAAGTTGCACCTCTTACCTAACCTTTGCTTCAAAAACAAATCTTCTGCAAGATTTTCCATTTAAATCCTAAAGCCGATGCTGCAAACCACTCCCCCTAACTTGTTTCTAGATTTTCATTATCCTTTAAAATAAATCTATAATCCTATGTCTTTTATATTTTTAGGTATCCTTTTCGGCTTTGCTGCTTTTATCTTCAACGATAACAGCAAAGCCCTACGGAGCAACCCATGCCTCCAAACCAGTTACCGAGATCGGAGCAGACGGCTGCAAAGGAGGTTCCTCCTGCGGTCTAGGAAGTGGCGGTCTAGGAAGTGGCAGTCTAGGAAGTGGTGGTCACGGAGGTTCTGGTAGCAGTAGTTTTGCCAGTTCCTCAGCGCACAGTAGTGCTAGCTCTGGAAGCTTTGGTGGTGGAGGCGGTGGTTTTGGACCCGGAGGCGGATTAGAAGGAGGAGGTGGTCATGGAGGTCTCGGATCTGGTGGTGGTTTAGGATCCGGAGGTGGCCACGGAGGAGGTGGTGGTTTGGGATCCGGAGGTGGCCACGGAGGAGGTGGTTTCGGATCTGGTGGTTTAGGATCCGGAGGAGGTCTCGGTGGTGGTCACGGTGGTGGTGATGGATTTGGATCTGGAGGCCACGGAGGTCTTGGATCTAGCGGTGGTCTTGGATCTGGAGGCGGAGGAGGAAGTTATGGAGGTGGCGGCAGTCACGGAGGAGGTCTTGGCTCCGGTGGTGGTTTAGGATCCGGTGGCCTAGGTTCCGGAGGTGGACACGGTGGAGGTCTTAGTTCCGGAGGTGGTTTAGGATCCGGTGGTCTTGGTCCCGGAGGTAGCCACGGCGGAGGTCTCATCGGCGGTCCAGGATTTGGAGGCGGCTCTGGTGGCCATGGAGGCTCTGGAAGCAGTAGTTTTGCAAATGCTGGAGCAACTTCTGGTGCTTATACGAGTGGAGTGGGTGGCGGTCACGGAAATGATCTCGGAGGTGGCCTTGGAGGCGGCGGACACGGTGGAGGACTAGGAGGTGGCGGCCACGGAGGCGGTTTAGGCGGAGGCCTTGGAGGCGGCCACGGAGGTGGTTTAGGCGGAGGCCTCGGAGGTGGTCACGGTAGTGGTTTAGGCGGAGGCCTCGGAGGTAGCCACGGAGGCGGATCAGGACTTGTTGGTGGAAGTCACGGAGGCTCCGGAGGTGGATACGGAGGCGGAGGCCACGGTGGTTCCTCAGGATTCGGCGGAGGCTTTGGCGGCGGTCCAGGGGGTGGCCACGGAGGATTTGGTGGTGGACCTGGTGGTGGCCATGGAGGCTTTGGTGGTGGACCTGGTGGTGGCCACGGAGGCTTTGGAGGTGGTCCTGGTGGTGGTCACGGAGGTTTTGGTGGCGCTGGTGGAGGAGCGTTTAGTAGTTCTCACGCCGGCGCTTTCGGCGGCGGACACGGAGGTGGATTTAGTGGAAGCGGTAGCGATGAATTTGGAGGCAAGAGAATATATTTCTTTTAATTCATTTTATAATATTTTTATCATTGATTTTAATTTTAAGGAAGTGCTGAATTTCTAGGAGGACCTCACGGCGGCGGAGGACATGGAGGTCACGGAGGTCATGGTCACGGTCATGGCGGTTTCCATGGCCACGGTCATAAGGGTCATGGATCATATGGTTAGTTAGAATAATATATTTAATAAATTAGTTAGGATAATATTGTAAAATAAAAAAAATAATAAAACATTAAACAATATTGATATTATTGTTAGTGTTCAATTATTTATTTTATCTCTTGCAACTTTTGAACCGATCGCCTAAAAAAATAATATATACTTTATATATATATATATATATATATATATATATATATATATATATATATATATATTAGGGTGGTCCTTAAAATGGTCATTTTCGAATTTCCTTGCTCCCAGGGGCTCAAATGGTTCCAAATTGATAAAAAACAATTCTCTGAAAGTTTTAGCTCTTAATATTAACGTTTAGATAGAGCGCAATTCAATCAAACTTTGTATGGAAAGAGCATGGAAAAAATTTTGAAAATTTAAAAAAAATGTTTTAGGTATAACTTAGCGACAAATGAATGAGTTTTATTCATTTATTTACTCGCTAAATTACATCTAAAAAACATTTTTTAAATTTTTGAAAATTTTTCCATGCTATTTCCATACAAAACTTTGATTGAATTGCGCTCTATCTAAACGTTAATATTAAGAGCTAAAACTTTCAGAGATTTGTTTTTCATCTATTTGGAACCATTTGAGCCCCTGGGAGCAAGGAAATTCAAAAATGACCATTATAAGGACCACCCTAATATATATATATATATATATATTCAATAGATAAGTTCTGGATTTTTTGAATATATTGACTATTTCTTTTCCGAACAGTAAATCCAATAATAAAAAACAATTTGTTTTTTGAAGATGTTTAATAACGACGTTTCGGAACTAGATACGTTCCATCATCAGGTTTATTTTGTAATAATTTATATATCCATAGCACTAATATTTTTTGTTAAAAACACTCGATTTTTTCCGAGGATATTTGTAAATGTTTTGACTTCACAAGACTTTGTAACACACTGTTGGAAAAAATCGAGTGTTTTTAACAAAAAATATTAGTGATATGGATATATAAATTATTATAGAATAAACCTGATGATGAAACGTATCTAGTTCCGAAACGTCGTTATTAAACATCTTCAAAAAACAAATTGTTTTTTATTATTGCATTTACTGTTCGGAAAAGAAACAATCAATATATATATATATATATATATATATATATATATATTAAATTTGTTAGAAATTGAATTATATGTACAATGTCCTGTATAATATCAAAACGCAATATCAAAAAGCTCTACAGCAACTCCATATAATTTTTCTCTTCGTTATGTTTAAAATAAAATAGTTTGTTACCATTACCCAATTGAGTAAATTTGTAACGAGAGCCCGCACCATGATCATATACTAGATTACAGGTAATTTATACTATTAATAAATTAATTCTATGTTTCTATTTTATTTCCAGGACATCACCGTTACTAAAGATCCTTTGTGCTAGTCATTTGCCACTTCATCAACACCAAATTTTCTCATAAAACTATATTTTTAGTCGACAAAATAATAAATATAGTTGATAACCTATTTAAGATAATATTGTTGTAAATAAATATTTTTTGTATAATATATAAGATTAAAAAATTGAATAATTTGTTTGTGTTTCTCGGAGAATTAAACACTGATTATGTAATTATTTAATAAATAATAAACAATGTTTATTATATATACAGAAGGAAATTAATTATTATCATCAAGGCAATTAATGTCATGCTCTTGATTTATGACAAAAACTTGTATTATTATACAAATTGCACTTGAAACATTGCAAAGTGTTGCATTTGTTTGAATAAATAAATGAATTTGTTATGACGCAAATTAGTAAATTTATTAATTTTTTCAAACAAGTTTAAATTCGACATATGATATGGCAACTGAAACTCTACATTGGTCTCTTCAATTTTGATTCTTCACACTTCAAATGCTCTTGTAATTTGAAAATTTTATCATCAAATTTGACATATTAATTTCAAGTTTTCAAGTTTAAAATAAACACCTTCAATTTAAATTTGACATCATAGATTATAGTTAGACCTCTTTAATTTCAAATTTGACACTTGGCACTTCAAATTTGATACTCAGCACTTCAAATTAGATATGAATTTCAAATTTGACTCTTCACTTCAAAATCATTATCTACACTTTAACGGAGATACTCAGAATTTTACATTAAATAATTAATACTTCAAATTCGATGCTTAGCATTTCCAATTAGATATTTCGAACATAAAATTTGGATATAAACACTTCAAATTTGATACCCTCACCCAAAATTTGTTAAATTCACTCCAACATAAAATGTTTAAATTTTGAAATTGGCACTTTACACTTGAAATTTGTTGCATAGCACTTCAAATTAGACATTTGGAACAAAAATTTGATATAAATACTTGAAATTTGATACCCACACTCCAAATTTGACACCTGCACTTCAAATATATACGTTAAACTGTGAAATTAATACTTTACACTTGAAATTTGACACTTGGCACTTCAAATTTGATGAAAACTCTTCAAACTGGGCACCTCATAACATATTTGATTCCTCACACTTCAAATTTGAAACATGGCACTTCAAATTCGATAGAAACGCTTCAAATTGGGCACCTCATTACAAATTTGACTCTTTCACTTTAAATTTAATACTCTATGCTTTTAAATTAATATTTTACACTTCAAATTTGAAACTTGGCACTTCAAATTTGATAGAAACTCTTTAAATTGGGCATCTCATAACAAATTTGACGCTTTCACTTCAAATTCAATACTCTAAACTTTTGAATTGATATTTTACACTTCAAATTTGATAGAGACACTTCAATTTTCCCACCTCATTACAAATTTGACCTTTTCACTTCAAATTTAGAACTATATATTATTAAATTGATCGGCAATTTTCTGAAACTTGGTACTTCAAATTTGATAGAAATTCTTCATTGCAAATTTGTTGCCATCACTTCAAATTAAACAGTTCGCACTTTAAATTAAATATTTGACACTTCAAATTTAACACTGAACTCCGTAAATTTTACACTATATATCTTGGTTCTTAAAATTTGACCCTTGACTTTATAAATTTGATACTACGTATTGCACACTTCAAGTTTGACACAAGACACTTCAAATTAAAAATTTCAAGTGTTTATATCAAATTTTGTTCCAAATGTCTAATTTGAAGTGCTAAGCATGAAATTTGAAGCGTAAAGTGCTAATTTCGAAATTGAAAGGGCCAAATATCTAATTTAAATTTCCGAATGTCAACCTTGAAGTATAGATAATGATACTGAAGTGAAAGGTCAAATTTGAAATTCATGTGAATAGCAAGTTTGATATGATTAGTATCAAATTTGAAGTGCTAATTGCCAAATTTAAAGTGTAAGATGTTAATTTCAAAGTTTGAAGTGTTTATTTTGAAGTGAGTTCTACAAATTTGGAGTGTGGGTGACTAATTTGAATTTTTAAATCAAAATTGATGTTCCAAACGCTAAATTAAAATTTCATACACTTTTGTATTTAAAAATATAAATTTACAAATTTTGATATCTTAAAAATTATCAAAAACCTACGTCTGATTTTTTAAGAATTTTTAAATTTGATATATTCCCAAAAAACGCATAACAGAAGCTATAAAACCAATCAAAGTCTTTTTACCATTTTTTAATACCACTTAATGTATTTTTAACTTACATTCATTCCCTCAGCTCTCACACTAACTAGACAAATCTGATGTAATTTTCTACAGTTTCAAGAGCAATAACTTATCATTTAAATCGATCGACTTGTAATTATCAACGATATTGTTTATAAATATTTACGGACGAACACATACATATATATATATATATATATATATATATATATATATATAAATAAATTTCCATACACGTTCCATTTTTTTTACAAAAAAACCTGATTGGACGATAAAAGTTTTGCAAGACTGTTATAAAAGAGGATCGAACTTCCGCAAAACAAACAGTCGATAAGTCGATCTATAAAGTGACATATCAATAAATATTTATTTAGCACTAAGTGTTTTTGTTTATAAAATCTTAAAAACAACAACCATGGCTCGTTTTATGGTGAGTAAAAAAATTAAAAAAACTAGTGGTGTATTGCATCGTGCCTTAAGGCAAATTGCTGGAACTTCCCCTACCGTAATGAAATATTCGAAAAATTTTAAACGTTTTCAAAAATATATTATTACATAAATGCTGTAACTTTCATTATTTTTGCTATCTTGTTTGTTATATCTGAGCAAATCAAATGTAAATCATAAATCAATTTATCTTCAGAACATTAACAATCGTCATTTCATTTCGAATTCAATTTCAAAAAAAAATAGTTGCCTAATTTACACAAAATTGAAATAGTGCTCCCGTATAGTCACAGTCTAAACGCATTTGCAAATATTTCTGTGCGACATTTTCACTTATACTGTGCTCAGCTTGGCGGCATTTTCGCATTTTTCACTAGTTTTCACAAAATTGGAAAAGTGTTCCCGCATAGTCACAGCCTAAACGCATTTGCAAATAATTCTGTGAGACATTTTCACTTATACTGTGTTTAGCTTGGCGGCATTTTCACATTTTTTAATAGTTTCCACAAAATTGAAAAAGTGCTCCAACAGTCTAAACGCACTTGGGTAAACATTTGTACCAGAGTGGCTCTTAGACTGTGCTTAGCCTGAAAATTTTTTGAATTTTTAATCCAAAATTACAAAACTATTTTTTGAAAAAAAAAAAATTAGAGACAACCTTTTTTTCCAAAAGCAATTATTTTGTTGAAACAAGCATAAAATTCTTTAAATCATTTAAATAGGACGCTTAGTTCTCTCAAAAACTGCCATTTTTTTTAACACTTAGCTCTGTATCTCCGAAACCGCTGGGCCTACCTTTGCCAAAAACTAATAACCCGTCATTTCTCCGTCATTACGAACTGAATCATACAAATCGGATGATCCGTTCTCTCAAAAACTCGATTTCTATTTTCTGCACTCTTTGCTCCGTATCTCCGTAACGACTGGATCTGCCTTTGCCAAAAAGTAATCTGCACATTTCCCTATCAATAGGAATCGAATAATAATTGAATCACTCAAATCGGTTGATCCGTGCGCCCGAAAACGTGGACGAAAAAATGCGGACATATAAAAAAGAGTAACTAGATGGTAGAAATAGAGAGTGTAATTAGAGGTAATAAATGGGTAAAAATATAAAGAATATTTATAGACAAGAAATTGGAATTAACAAATGTATAAATCATTAGTCTTGTTAGGTATATATAAAATTCACACCTTTCATTCTCCGGATTTTAGTTTGGATTTTGATATATGGTTGATTTGATACTTCTCCTAAACAGTTATTCGGATTTTGATAAATCTTTCTGAACACACACACACACACACATTCATTTAGCTTCTGAGGTGTGCCAGTAAAATGTTCAGAAACCTTCAAAACGTCGAGAAATGCAAAAATTTTCATTTTCAATTTTCAGCCCATTGCTATAACCACCCTACGGAAAGTTAATAAAAACGTTTTTTTAATCATTTATATTTCCTTTAAGATTGCTTTATCCCTGGCGGTTTTAATCGTCGCCGTAACCGCCACTCCCTACGGTGCCGGAGGACACGGAAGCAGTGGCGGCGGACACGGCTCCGGGCTTGACTCCGGTTTTGGGGGGCACGGAAGCCGCGGCAGTGGACTTGGAGGCAGTAGTTTTTCCAGTGGTAGCCACGGTGGCGGACTTGGAGGTGGAAGCAGAGGCCATGGAGGCCTAGGCGGATCTGGAGGTTTTGGAGGCCAAGGAGGCCTTGGTGGTGGACACGGAGGCGTTGGAGGCGGACATGGAGGTCACAGTGGCGGAGGACGTGGAGGACATGGCGGCAGTTAGTATTTTATAATACATATATATATATATACGTGTATATATATATATATATATATATATATATATCAAATTCTTGTTGTGAAGTGAAATGAACGTTGTGAAATATTATAGGCCTGTGGAAAGTGGTTTAATTGTGAAAATTTCTTTTCAGGTCATTACTAGATGAAATATAAAAGAGAACTCTCTGCAAAATTTGTTTGGAATCTGTGATTTCCGTTACTTTATGCCAGCCAGAAATATAATTAAAAATATTTGTAATTAACAAATGAATTAATTATGTTATTTTTTGTATAATTTGTATTTGTAAGTTTATATAAGTAAAAATTTAAATAATAAAAATAAGTGTTTTATTACATACTACAGAAATAATTTTGCTTTTTTTATTGATTTGATAAAAAAAAATTTTTATATAAATTTTTGTCTTTTCTCATATTTTTAGAGAGATTTGACTATATTTTATTCAAACAAATAAATTTTTGACACACGAAACAAAATTCTAAATCATTTTTCTAATAAATAGAAATATTTTTTTGTATCGTTAAACAATTTATTAAAGTAAACCAAAATGCGACATGCATAAGTTAAAAAAAATGGATATGCAATTTTGGATGTGATTTATTAAACTGAATTATATAATTTCATCTGCCAAACATATACTGTTGACTGTATCTTATATTATTTTCATTTCTGGCACATCTCTGCTGCTTTTCGGCAATAATAATGTAGACATTGCATTTTGCTTGTATATTACATTCTAATATTATCTGGGCTCATAATTTCTGCTAAATTCAAATTTCAAGTGAATTGACATTAGTAGCAGATGGCAGTTCAAATGTTTTCAATTTCAAATAATGATAAGTGGTTTTTGTGTAATTTTTGACAAACTCCAAAAAGAATTATCAAACTCCGAATAACCGTTTAGGAGAAGCATCAATACTAGCTGACCCCGCAAATGTAGTTTTTCCATATAAGGTATTTTTAAACGATTTTTAGAGAGTCCAGAAATTGTCATTTCATACATTTGTTATCATATATAACAATTTGTTAGTCATGTGACTGACTACATAATTTTATTATTCAACTCTAAGTTTATTATTTTATTTTATTGCTTTGTTTTTTTTCTCAATTGTATCTTTAAAATTTGTGTGTTGGGTTTTTTTTCAAGGTTCGGTTTGTACTGATATTTTTATTCGTTATATAGTCTAGTCACATCTTGTAAATTTTTAAAACCTTGTGGAATATTTTTTTCAATTTGTTAAACGTGCGACACATACTGTGTCGAAACGTACATAATAAATAAAAAAATATAAATATTTAATAAATTCCAGTAGGATAAGTTATAGTAAAAGTCCAAAAACCAAAACTGAAATTTTTTGCATACCTTCACGTTTTAAAGGTTTCTGAACATTTTGGCATTCTTTAGATAAAATGGAAGTCTGTGTCAACCAATTATCCGATTTGAATGGTTCAAAAAACATTCGATTCTTATTGATAGGGAGATGTGCTGATTAGTTTTTGGCGAAGGCAGGTCCAGCCGTTTTGGAGATACTGAACAAAAAGTGCAGAAAATAGACATTGGGTTTTTGACAGAACGGAGCATCCGATTTGAATGATTCAAATAATATTGCACTTGTATTGACGTAATGGAGAATTCGGAGATCCAGAAATAAATTTAAAAAATGCGATTTGGTCAATGCCAAGTCACCGATATGAATGAGTAACCAAAACTTTCAAAAAATATTAAAATTGTTGCAATTTCTTTTTATAAGTACTTTCAAAAATTGTGCAAATATTTCATAATTTTCAATAAGACATTGTTTTATTTCTTCTATATTCATATTTTTCAAATGTATCCAAAATTTTCAAAAATGTTCAAAGAAATTCATAATTCTCAAAATGAATCTTTTTTTCTTTTACGAATTTCCAAAAATTTAAAATTACAGTACGGAAAGTTCCAGCAATTTGCCTTAAGGCACGATGTCATGCACCACTAGTTGCTTTTTATTTCGACTATTTGGCTGCCAATAAACAGTTCGTCGAACAAAAAATCCAAATCTATGTCATATATATAAAAATGAAGCTCGATAATATGTTAGGTATGCTAAAACTCAAAAGCGGGCTATACCGATTTGGCCAATTTTGGTCTAGAAATATTTGTGCAAATCCGGAAATTGTGGGAAAGGTGAGCAATTATATCAAAATCGCTTAAAAACTTTACATATCTATCTTATATATAAAAATGGAGAGCGGTATTATGTTAGGTATGCTAAATTTCGAAAACAGCTGAACCGATTTGGCCAATTTTAGTTTTGGATCATTTGTGCTATACCGAAATTGTGGAAAAGGTGAAAAATTGTTTCAAAATCGCTTAGAAACTCGATAATATGTTAAACGGCTGAACCGATTTGGCCAAGTTTAGTCTTAAATTATTTGTGGTAATCCACATATTGTGGGAAAAGTAAGAAACTATATCAAAATCGCTTAGAAACTTTACATATTTATCTTATATATAAAAATAGAGTTCGGTATTATGTTAAGTATGCTAACACTCGAAAACTGCTGAACCGATTTGGCCAATTTTAGTCTGGAAATATTTGTGATAATCCAGAGATTGTGGGAAAGGTGAGAAATATTTCAAAACCACGTAAAAACTTAAACAGAAACGTAATTTAAAATGAAAGAATTGCATACGGCTCGTACGTCAAATGTCACATGGTTTTGACAAATTGTGTTCAAATAAATTTAAAAGGATGTTTTAAGTAAAAATTATTTAATTGTAGGAAGTAGTTTTATTTGTAGTTCTATTTATACGTAAACAAATTACTCAACAGGTCGCAAGTGTTATAAGAAACTCAAAATATCACTTTTTTGAAATGTTAGAAATGACAATTTTTGGATTCTCTAAAAATTGTTCACAAATACCTTATATGGTAAAACAACGTTTGCCGGGTCAGCTAGTATATATATATATATATATATATATATATATATATATATATATATATATTATAATTGCAGTTTCTGCATCTCGTCAACAAACAAAACACAATGCGTGTCGACAAATTAAAATAACTCCGACCATAAAAATCTACATAAAAACAAAACATCAATTATCATCTCCTGCTAATTGATTTAATTAATTAGCACAAATCAATTGTAAGATTATCTTCATAAACATAAAAATAATCTAACATTGATATATATTTCATACCGCTTATGCATTTTTATTCAAACAAATAACAAATAAAATTGCATGCAATCAGTGGCGGATCCAGCTTCGGCGTCAGGGGGGGGTCATAATTGAAAAGTTTTTATAGTCCTCAATGAGTATGCAACAAATATATACGAGTATATATATATATATATATATATCTATATATATATATATATATATACATATATATACATATATATCAGATAGAGCGGGGCTTAAAGATTTGCGGGTAAAAAGGTCCACCACCGATATCTCAAAAACAAGTAAAGTTAAGGATTTCTTAACAACAATATTTGAAAGTAGAGGGAAAAATGTACAACCAACCATCACCCTGATTTTTACGACGTTAAAAAAAAAACATTTTTACAAAATATAAATAAAATAAATCTTTATTTCAACTCTGCCGGTAAATATTTTGGACAAAATATCAAATCAAAATTATATACTTATCTATATATTTATATATTATTATGCAGAGTTATATATTTTTCATTGGTTGAATAATGTAGCTATTATTTCGTTAAATCCCTTTAAAATTAAAAATAGTAAATTGGATTGTTTGTCCTCTCGCCGTCCGATTTTACCCCGCCTTTGGGGTAAAAAAGACCAAGTGACAAATTTTTTAAAAACAACAAAAAACACATTTTTACAGTGATGAATTAGCTGGAGGTTGTACTAAAACATAACCAGATGGTTTTTTGTTTAATGTATCTTATTGGTTGTTATGTTTTTCGTTTAGTTTTCACAATATAATTGCTCAAATTTACTTAGCTTTACCTTATATATGTGTATTTTTTAAAAAATAATCTGCGTCTTTGACGTTAGTCAAAATTTGACCTTTCCTCGACGTTTTCTCGTCTGAACCGATGTTAAAATTTAAAAACTATAAAATGAAACTGGATAAGCGTTTGCGTTGATTAGTTTTTTGATACAATTGGTCGATCCGTTTCTTTACTATTGGCGGAAAAGTGCAAAAATTATCGTCCATGTTTTTGTCAAAGATTCTTAACCGTTTCTTATTCGAATGATATCATTTGGAAATAAATAGTTTCTGTCGAAGATCGGTCAAGTCGTTTCTTTTTCATAATAGATTGTCATTTTTTTGGCGATGTAAGTGAAACTTTGCATGGCGATAGAGTTTCTGCTCTAAATGAACGTACTACTACTAAACTATATTAAGGCCTGCGAGAAGTGGTTTTACTTACTTATGATAATTAAAGTTTGGATTATTTGGCCGCGCTTTTAAAAAATTCATCGTGTGTATGTATTCGGCTTCGTATTTCGTATGTGTTCGTTTTCCATCAATGTGTAATATTCAAACCATTTTTTAACTAGTTTGTATTGGTATTTTGTCTTTAGGCAAGTTGCATGAACTTTCCGAAATGTGTTAATAATCGACTTAATCAGTAAAAAATAAATTAATTTATGAGGGATTCAAGGGATTCCCAGTGGATTCACAATATCACACATGATTGAAAACGAAGACGTTAACACGGAGTATTTTCTAAAGGCAAATTTTCAAAATTCAATATATAATAATTTATTATAATTGAACCAGTTGCCGTAGGATTTTAATGGTTATTAGTACTCTATCGATAAACCAAGTAAATCGTCTACTTTTAATTTTAAAGACGTTAAAAGAAACTACTCATTTTCTCAAACTTTGATGAATTTTCAAAATTAAACTACTTGTTGTAAGGCCGTAATATTTCAATAAGTTGTATAAAATCATGATATATATCATCAAAAAAAGTTTCATAAAAATCGACTCAAATATTTTTTTCAACGACGAAATACAAGCAAACGGTTCGGTAGATTTTCACCTAAACTAATCAGTTTCATTCCCAACTAATATCTTTCGAACGGTTTTTGAATGCCATACACCACTAGTTTATATATTGATTGAGTCGTCTATTTACAGTTGTTAGGATTACTGAAAGTTCATGCATAAGGACTACTCACACTAACAATCAGTTTAATTTTTTGATTTTTGAATGAAATTTTGTACCTAAACTGTAATAAAACATATATTCGCTATACGATTAGAAAATCCTTAAATTTTAGGGTTTTTGACACCGTCATTCGTCTACAATCATTTAAATATTCAAGTTATAAAATGTGTTTGGTAACAAAATAAATAAATAAAATCATTATGAAGTAATTTTGTTGTTGAATTAGTGTTTTATCTAAGACCTAAAACAGGCTCAGGGGGGGGTCATGACCCCCGTGACCCCCCCCCTGGATCCGCCGCTGCATGCAATAATAATTAACCGATGAATAAATTTCGAGTCGAGGATAAGGTCACTTGTTTAATTTTTTCCTCTCTATAAAAACGCGAATGCATTAGGAATACATTAATAGTTTTGTTGCAATTGTTTAAACAATAATAATAATAATAAAAATATTAAAATTGTGAGATGGATAAATTCGTGGTAAGTTCATAATATTCAGTATCTAGTATAATTTATAAAACAAACAATTTTAATTTAACAACACTAAATATTATCATTACTTTTAATATGTCAATATTTATCCTTGTCGTTAATAATTTGTTAATAAATAAAAATTAACAGTTATCGCATCAGGTCGCGACTTTTCCATCAATTGCAAATATTCCATAAACAAATTGCTAAGGTTAAATCATGGACTTTGTCAAAACAAAAACAAAACATAATATTATAAATGATAAATGTTATCAAATAAATCATCTTACGCCCCAACTTGCATACATTATGCTACTGAATTATACTGAATACTGTCAAAATGTCATGTATTTGCTGTGCATTCAGGCGTTTACATATAAACTGCAACGTTACTCGTATGTTATGAAGCTGGATCAGAAATACCCTCGTTTTTTTTGAAAGAATCTAATAAAATGTTACATTTTCTCATAAATAAAAGGACTCTACAGACGAGCAAACTGATTCTGATAATCTTGAAAAAAAATCTTATAATATATTTTACTGTGTAAAAGGCAAAAGTATTCTACTGACAAGCAAACTAATTTTAATCGAATTTGTAGAAGAATCTAGAAAAATATTACATTTTGCAACAGATAAAAGGGCTAAAACTAGTCAGAAGGATCTTTAAAAAAATCTAGTACAATATTAAACTTTCTCATAAATAAAAGGACTCTGTTGCAACAGACAAAAGGACTCTACTGACGAGCAAACTATTTTTGATCGAGTTTGTAGAAGAATCTAGGAAAATATTACATTTTGGAATAGATAAAAGGACTCTACTGACGAGCAAACTGATCACGTTGATCTTGATGCAAATATCTAGTCAAATTTTAAACTTTCTAGCAAATAAAAGGACTCTACTGACGAGCAACCTAATTTTTATAAAATTTGTAGGTAATTCTAGAAAAATATTACATTTTGTAACAGATAAAAAGACTCTACTAACGAGCGAACTGATCTCGTTGACATTGATTAAGAAATCTAATACAATATTGAACATTTTAACAAATAAAAGGACTCTACTGACGAGTAAACTGATCATCGATTCGAGATAAAAACCAGTACTAATTTGTCTTTTTTTTTAATAACAAAGGGACTGTACTGACGAGCAAACTGATTTCAATAGACTTGGCAGAATAATATAGTAAAATATTACACTTTTCAGCAGGCAATAAGAACTCTACTGACGAGCAAACTAATCATCGATTCGAGATAAAAACCAGTACTAATTGATCTTTTTATTAATGAATAAATAGACTCTACTGACGAGCAAACTGATTTTTATCGACTTGAAAGAAGAATCTAGTAAAATGATGGAATCACTTACTTATAAAAGAACTCTACTAACGAGCAAACAAATTTTAATCGAGCGTTTGGTACAGAAGTCGAAGTATGGTTAAGTATTATTCGATCTAATTAGTTTTTTTAATATCACATCTTTTTGAATTTATTAAAACTGATTTTTGTGTATTCATTAAACAAAATATATATTCATGCAAACATCTCAGACAGACAAATTGTCTGGTGTAAGAAAATCCCTGTAAATATTTTTCGGTTTGATACGAGTATATTCGTATCAAGTTGTTAAGAATTCGATTCGAAATATTCGAACCATTTCTACTTGTCACATCACTTTAATAGTGCGCTCTCACTCTCACATATGGCGCGAGAAAGGGACGAAAGAAGAAACAAAGTGGTGAGAAAAAGATTTCATTAACAAAATACAATGTGAGTTCATATTTTTGTTAAAATTTATGTTAGGTTAGAGCTGTGAGATATGAAACAGGGGTCTTAGATTTGACACCCGACTAGGACCACCTGATATGAAACATCGGTTTTAAGTTAGCAATATACGTGGTCTGTTCAAAAAGTACCCGGAATTACTAATAATTAAATTTCGCGGGTCTGGAGTGTCTGATTGTCAAAATTTTTTTTTTATTGTGTTGGTATACATGCCCCTAAAGTATGATGAAATTTTCAGCTATATTCACTGTTTACTTTGTCTGTGGTAGTCGCTAAGGTTCGACGTGTTTTTCTGAGCTCGGCGATTTTTACAATGGAAGAATTGAAAAGTCAAAGAATTTGTATTAAATTTTGCGTAAAAAATGAAATAAAGTGTTGCAAAGTGCAAAAATTCACCAGATATGGCTCCGTGTGACTTTTTCCTATTCCCAAAGTTGAAGAGACCCATGAAAGGACGGCGGTTTTCCTCGATTGAAGAAATAAAGGCCGAATCGCTGAGAGTGCTCAAGGACATATCAAAAAGTGAATATCAAGGGTGCTTCGAAAATTGGAAAAAACGCTGGCATAAGTGTATTATATCCGGGGGGGAATACTTTGAAGGGGACCACATTAATGTAGACGAATAAATAAATATTTTATATTTATATACGAAAATTCCGGGTACTTTTTGAACAGACCACGTAGATAGCACCAATAAAAATTAATCAAAATTACAAAAATTGTACTAATAAAATAAATAAAATGATTTAGGACAACCATTCGGGTTTCTACATATAAACACAGTTAATAATCATAGAGTCCTATGATTTCTTATTATATTAATATGTTTCCTTTAACAATTTGCAACCAACAATTTTAATTTTTTTTCAGACATTTTTCCTACTGATGGCACTTCTTGCATGTGTCTTGTCGTTACCCGAAAAACGTTACAGCAATGCCCACAGTAACGGAGCAGCACATTTGGACGAAGATACCCGATCATTGGCAGAAATAGAAGGTAATAAGAGAAAATTACTACAAAAAGTGTAATTTGTATTACACCATCCATTAATTTTAGCCAGTGAAAAAGTTCAATTCGACTCTGGCAAACGATTGAACCAGGGACATTCCCTTAATTATGCTCCAGACAAAAAATACGAGGTTGTGCAGATGGGTAGCAAAACAAGGGGTAGTATGAGACACCAAATTGGACGTCATACATCAGGACATCAAGGTAAAAAATAATACAAATTATATACACCAATAAGGTCTAACTATATAACATATTCCATATTCTAACTAAAAACATGGTTTGGACACAAAAATTGTCTTTTGATTTCTCACCGAAGAAGAAGATTGTTAGCAGGATCAATTTTTATCCAAATGGAATAAATTTAAGAAAAGACACAAAATTATTACATGATTCTTACATTTTTCATTTTTGTTTCAGGTGGATTTTACGCCTAAAACAAAAACAGAAGCACAATATGATTGGTGTGATAATTTGTAATTGGTCAAGTTGCAGAATTTTTCTTGTAAAAGAATATATTAATAAATATATATATACCAGAGTCTTAATATTAACTTTTAGATAGTCCGCACTTGAAACAAAATTTCTTGGTTCTTTTCCTATAAGTGAGTACTAATACCAAATTTTTGTTACTAACGCTCAATGTTATTCTCAAAATTTTGATTCACTTGTCGCTAAGTTAGAAAATTCTAAAAAACAAATAGTATTTTAACCATGTTAATTCCATAAGAAATTAATTAAAATTATTTTTGACGATTATATGTAAACTTTGTGTGACAATAAATTTCCTGGTCTTAATAAACATACTAAAATATTAAAGGCCTACGAAAAGCGGTTTAATTATAAAAATTATTAACTTCACTTCCAGTAGGGTAGTTGTTCTAGTAATGGGCCGAAAATCGAAAATGAAAATTTTTGCATTTCTCGACGTTTTAAAGGTTTCTGAACATTTTACTGGCATACCTCAGAAAACTAATGGATGTGTGTGTGTGTGTGTGTGTATGTATGTATGGATACAATTTTTCAGTCACGTTTTCGGGCGCACGGATCAACCAATTTGAATTGATTAAAAAACATTCGATCCCTATTGATGGGGAGATGTGCTGATTAGTTTTTGGCAAAGACAGGTCCCGCCATTTCGAAGATACAAGGCTAAATGTGCAAAAAATGGCAGTTTTTAAGAGAACTAATCATCCGATTTGAATGATCTAAAAAACTTTCTGCTTGTATTGACAAAACAATTGTTTTTGAGGATAAAAAATTCTAACACCTTTTTTTATTTTCCATAAAATATTTTTGTAATTTTGGATTAAAAATTCTAAAAATTAGCCAGGCTAAGCACAGTCTAAACGCCACTCTGGTACAAATGTTTACCCAAGTGCGTTTAGACTGTTTATGTACTGGAGCACTTTTCCAATTTTGAGAAAATTATTGAAAAATGTGAAAATGCCGCCAAGCTAAGCGCAGTCTAAGTGAAATTGCCGCACAGAATTATTTGCAAATGCGTTTAGACTGTGACTATGCGGGAGCAATTTTTCAATTTTGTGCAATTTAGGCAACTATTTTTTTTTTGAAATTGAATTCGAAATGAAATGACGATTGTTAATGTTGTGGAGATAAATTGATTTATGATTTACATTTGATTTGCTCAGATATAACAAGACTTAGCACAAATAATGAAAGTTACACTATTTGTAATAATATATTTGAAAACGTTTAAAATTTCTCAAATATTTTATTACGGTACGGGAAGTTCCAGCAATTTGCCTTAAGGCGCGATTACATACACCACTAGATTATTATTTAATCCATTAAGTTTTTTTCCATCGTCATTTCCTGAAAGCTAATTATTGCAAAACTGCAAATTGCGAAATCGCTTCGCAAGCACAACTTTTAATTACATCTGTTAAAACATTTTGTTTACAATGTTTATTATATGAAAATAACAACAAATTACGATGACAGAGTAGAACTAGGATTATGAATAATAACAAATATTATCACTTATTAATTTTTACTAAACACTGTAAATTTGTAACTATGAACTATGAAAGTTTTTAAACTGGTTTTGTAAATAAGAAACTAATAATTATTGTACCATTATATAATCCTGATTGTAAATGAGTGAAAGTATAATGTAACTAGCCAGAGGACATTTTTAAAGAAGTAACGTCAAAGTCGACAAATTTTGTAAATCATAATTTCATAGATTAACAAATACTAGTAATAATTCTAAAAAAAATTGAGCAATTTTGTCATTATTTTTGACTAGTCTTATTTTTGATTAGTTTTGATTATTTTGACTGTCCTAGAAAAGTTATTTACAGTTAATAGAATCCTTCTTTAATATTATCAAACTATTCAAGTTTGGATTGTAATATTTTATAAATCAATGAATAGAAAATATTTTAGGTTTGTTATATTTAAAAAATGTAAATACAACTCTGGTTTAAAATTATAAACAAAACCTACAAAAGTGCTTTATAAATACAGGTGTCTAGACAACATAAAAATTGATTTAAAATTACAAGTTATTAAGTTACAAATAAAAAGAAATTGTTTTTCAATTTTAAAAGTGTGTGAAAAAAAATTTTGATTTTGATATGATTTGCAACATGATACGATTTTTGGTAAGTAAAGCTATTTTTTTATTTAATATATATAATTAATTAATTTTAAATTTTTGAAATTTGATTTTGCATTACATCAATTTTAATTGTTTTCACGCTCACTAGATAGCGCCACTAATTGTAGCACGTGAATCTACCCCTAGGTTTCATTAATAGATAAGATTTTTATAAATATACTAGATGACCCGACAGGCGTCCTGTACCCACGTACACTATAATTCAAAAGTTCCAAATTTTTTAATATCAAACCCTATACTTTTCAATATCCTATTTAATGTCCTGCCTTTGTGATTCGTTTATGATCTTAGCATAAGCAGTATATTTATTAAACCGAATTATATAATTTCATCTGCCAAACATATACAGTGTTGACTGTATCTTATATTATTTTAATTTCTGGCACATCTCAGCTGCTTTTCAGCAATAATAATGCAATGAATTACATTTTTCTTGTACATTATATTCTAATATTATCTAGGCTCATAATTTCAGCTAAATTCAAATTTCAAGTGAATTGACTTTCAAAGTCAAACAATGATAAGTGTTTTTTTTGTATTTTCCTCATTTATTTCTGCAATATTACTATAGTTTTATCGTTCAACAAATCTTAAAAATTTCCTTTGACAAACTCTAAAAAGAATTATCAAAATCCGAATAACCGTTTAGGGAAAGTATCAAATCAAACACACATACAGAAGATTTTTATATATAAGATATGGTCGTTTTGCAATTACCCCAATTTTATTTGCTTCCCCGCTCAATAGATGGCGCCAGTAACTGTATCACGTAAATTTACCCCTAGATTGAGTATTTAGATAAGATTTATATAAATATATAAATATAGAAAAGATAAGCCTAATTAATTTGAGTAAATGAAATGAGAACAAAATATACGCGTATAAAATATGTTCTCAACTAAATCACAAAATGGTTTCACAAAAATATGTAATAAAAAATATTAAACCATTAAAGTACATGTCTTATAATAAGAGAATCAATCCTTTAAAAAAAGTGATAAATTTAAACTCAGTAATAATTAATTTGAGAAAGTAAAATATATTTAGTTATGAATTCAATTTCTAATCGGTTCAATTCTAATAAACTTGAATTAATAATAAATTCTAATTTTTTCTGTTTCTAAATTTATAAGAAAACCAATTGCATAAAACATTAAACCGAGACAATAGAATTCAGACCATGCTGTTATTTAAGTTGTCGAAAACATATAACACGTTGAGGATCAAAGTCTTAAATAAAAAGTTAGTTTAAATTATCTTATTTGGATTTAGTATTCTAATTTCTATTCCAAATATATAATATTCAAATTACAAAGAAGAGCATTAGGAATTTTTGTTTTTAGTTCCTTATCCACACTTAGAAATCTTTTTCAATAATTTAACATGCTCAGTGTTCTTGAACGCTTCAAGATATCTTCAATAACTAATTCTTATTATAAAACAAGAAATGCAATAAATCCTAAGAATTAACATTTCTTAACACGCTTAGCATCATGTATTCACCAAACTAATCGAATTACTCACCTCTAATCACTGTTGTATTTAAACTCTATTTTCCCCCAGCTTTGCATGTTCTTCTTGATATCAGCACCAGCCTACTGTGCCATCGATCACTTAGCCCACGAAGCAGCCCTTCATGCTCACCATTTACACAACGAAGCCCTGGCACATGAAGCGAGACATCGAGCAGCTCTTCAGGCACACCATGCTCATATCCAAGCCCAGGCTGCACATCACAGGTAAAAGAATAAATGATTAGATAATAGAATATGAGAAATGCAAATTGGTGATATATTGAGGTTATGTGTATAAGAAACTAGTTGAAAGATTTGGTAATGAAATTTTTATATCGAGTAAGATAAAATAAGATAAATTGAAGTCCAAATTGAAGTTAATAATGAAATGTGACTGTATAAATATATATATAGATATTGTTTGACACAATTTTAATAATTTTGTTAGGCGTTCGAGTTTCATATATAATTTTATCAAATTATCATTAGATATATAAGATGTTTTAACTGATTTTTACTACAATATTTTTTTATATTACTATTACAATATAGTTGTTAAATGCAAACATATATTCTTGCTACAATATCAAGTGTATTAAAAATGTCCTTTCTGTTTTCAACAAGGCAAAAACTTTTAGCATTTTACCAAAAATTAAACACTACTACTCTAGATTATTATTACAAAATATTGTAATGATATTATTAATAAATAAAACAACACTTACCTTAATTAAAAGCACAATTAACAGCAAAATAAATAAAATATCACACAATTAAATTAACACGAACGTTTAACGTCAAAATTTGCAAGGACGAAAACGCACTTGAAGTTAGCAACAATTGCAGCTGGATTTTTCGCGCCAAAAAGATCAATTTTTGAAATTAATAAATTGGAAAGTATAATATTGTAATTATCATTATATATATATATATATATATATATATATACTCAATAATTAATAAAAAGAATTGAATATTACTTACTACAAATCGTACCATGTTGCAAAATTTGTATGTTTCTGCACACACACTTTAAAAATTTTAACAGTTTTTTTTAATTTTTAATTTCAAATCAAATTTTTTGTTGTCTAGAAGATAAAATAAGATGAATTAGAAGTGGCATTAAAACTAGTAAGAAAATGTGCTTATAAATATGATAAATCAATTCTATTTAACACTTTTGGTTTACATATATACTTACACACTATTTTAATGAATTTATCAATTTATCAAATTATCAACAAATATTGGTAGTTTTGAAATATTTTAAATACTAACTGTTTTAAGTTATATATATATTTCTTCAAAAACATGAATTTTTGCCTAAAAATAGAAAAAACAGTAATGTCCTTTCTGTTTTCAACAAGGCAAAAACTTTTGACATTTTATCAACAATTATTCACTTTTACAACTCCAAATTAATATTACAATATATTGTTTTGTTATTGTTACTAAATAAAACAACACTCACCTTATTTACAATCGCAATTAACAGCAAAATAAATAAAATATCACACAATTAAAATAATACGAACGTTTAACGTCAAATTTGCATGGACAAAAACGCACTTGAAGTTAGCAACAATTGCAGCTGGTTTTCCGCGCCAAGAAGCTTAATTTTTGAAATTACTAAATTGGAAAGTATATATCTTTTATCTATGAGTATAATATTGTAATTATCATTATATATATATATATATATATATATATATATATATATATTTAGATTTTTCAATTTTTGATCTAAAAGCCGTTCTTTATTTACTACATTTGTCAATTTTTTATTCAACGCTTTGCAGAAGTGGGATATCTCCATAGTTAAATAAATGTCTTCTTAAGGAACTATTGATAACTAATAAAAACTTTGTTTTATACATTTATACACTTATTTAAATATTTTAAAAACCACATTTTACTTTTATAACAAAATATTTACCAAAATCATACATTTTTATGCAAAAATTTCAAAATATTTACCAAAATCCTACATTTTTATGCAAAAATTTGATTTATTTCATACTTTTCGTAGAAGTGGGGTGTTCAGAAAGAATTCACTTTTTTCCTTTCATAACTAAATATTTACACATATCAAACACTTTAGAAATCAAAATACATATAAAAAATACATCTACACTATTCTTTACTAAATACATATAAAAAATACGTCCCTTACTACTTTATAAAAATAAAAATATCCAATAAATTATCTATTAACACACCTTTTTTTGTTCCTATGCATGTTTGTCATCACTAGTCTTATTAATTTATGTCTATTATATTTTTTTCTTCCAGGGCCGAACTGCATGCCCAACATCTGAGACACCAGGCCCACCTGGCCCACGAACAGGCCCAGGCCCATGCCCATATAGTTGCCGAACACGCTAAGGCCAGGGCCAGGGCTGCTGCTCACGGTATACACTTGCCCATTGTGCACCACCCGATACCACATATACCACACCATTTGTAGATATATATATATATATATATATATATATATATATATATATATAAATTTATATTATGTAACTTAATTGTATTTATTTATATTAAAGTAATAAAACGTTATATATTTCCATTATAATTTTTATTAAATAAAATGAGATATTAAATAATTTATCATAAAGTATTTCATTTTAAAAAGAAAACAACAGTTACATGATATATACTTAGACTAATAAAATTATTCGACACAAACACTATATCTGCGTCGATGATAATATATTATAAAAAAAGAAAATTAAGTCTCAACAAATAATTTGGCACTATCGAGTGCTAGAGGAAAAAATTCATTGATTTTGATTAAAATGGTAACATGTAAATGAAGGGATAAATGATATATATATATATATATATATATATATATATTTTAAAAGTACTAAATTATTAATAATAATTATATTATCGTCTGATATTTGAATAATTATTTTTCAACAGACTAGATTTACACTTATATAAAATTATTGTGCTATTATACAAGGATGCCATATACATATATCTTTTATACATTTATATATATATATACGTTATATATATATATATATATATATATATATATATAAATATATATAAATGTACAAAAGTTGGAAGATCGGTTTAATTATGAATTATAAATGTGTCTACTTTAGAAAAATTCAAGGCACATTTATTTTATATCAAAGCTAATATTTAAAAAAAAACTGTTAATATTAAATGTTATTTTAATCGGTCTTGAGATTATATTGAATTAAATTATATATTTGAGTAAAGTTGAAAAAAGTTATACATAATATAAATTATATATATAGAAAGTTCTCAGAAACAACTCCAAATTTGATTTTTATTATTTTTAATGTTTGTTTTTTAATATTACGTAAAATGAGTAACGTTTCAACGATTATGTATTCGTAACGAGCCTAAAAAAGTTTTACTTCAAAAATTTATATTCTGTGTTTTGTGGCATGTAGGGTATCGTTTGAAAGGTTTTGATGAATAGAAAATGGTTTTTGTAAAAAAATTAGTATTTGTAATAAAAACGTTATATATACTATTATATTATTGAAATTAAAAAGATTGGTTTGTTATATTTTCTTGAAAACTGTTTAAAATGTGTTTACTATAATTAACTATGTGATTTTGCTAAAAAAATTTACACTTTTAATGAATTTGTATAAAACGAGCCTAAAGAAGTTTTTGTAATAAAATTAGTATATAGTAATAAAAATGTTATATATACTATTACTTTATTAAAATAAAAAATATTAGTTTGTAATATTTTATTGAAAAACTGTTTGAAATGTGTTTGTAGCAAATACTAAAATTAACTAAGCAATTTGTCCAGGAAATTTACATTTTTAATGAATTTCTATCAAACGAGTCTAAAAAAGTTTTACTTCAAAAAATTAGTTTCTCGACGAGTAGAAAATGATTTTTGTAAAAAAAGTGTATGTTATAATAAAAACTTTATATAGTACTATAAACGTTACATACATTATTATTACAAAAAATATTAGTTTGTTATATTTTATTTCTGTTTAAAATGTGTAAATGTAAAACTTTTGTAGCGAGTACTAAAATTAACTAAGTGATTTGCCCAGAAAATTTACACTCGATTGTTATTGTTTTTTATGTTTGTTTTTCAATGTTATTCAAAAGCAGTAACATTGCAACGAATTTGTATTCGTAACGAGTCTAAAAAAGTTTTACTTCAAAAATTTTGTTTCTGTGTTTTATGGCATGTGGGGTATCGTTTAAAAGGTCTCGATGAGTAGAAAATAAAAATGATTTTCATTCATGAAAAAATTGGAGCTGTTTCTGAAGACTTTCTTATATCAAGGTATTTTTTTATCTCAAGACCTCAAAAAAAATTCATCTAGCAATAAAACTATCGATTACGATTAAGTTACCTTGTCGTGTCATCATATCATATATATAAAAATGAATAAATATGCATATACTTACAAGCTACATTACTTTTTAAATCTATACAAATTTCGCGTATCACTTTTCCGAGGCAGTATCCAAAAAGACGTTTCCAAAACTAATAATAATCTCAACATTTATTTAAAAAATCGTCGTTTGCCTTTCGATAATATCATAAATATAAAAAATGTGTAAAAAAGTCTAAAATAAACCCTTGTCCTTTTTGACCTTCGTCTGTTTCCACGTGGGCAGTTCGTTGAATTCCTCCTTGGTAAGTCCGAGGAGTTCCTTGAAGTATCTTGGTTCTAGATAGAGTTCTAGTCTTGTAGGGTCTACGCCTTCGGGTAGAGGTCTTTGGAGGAGGATGTCTGGATGGTAGGTGGAGCAGGTCAGTTGAGACAGCTCGCCTTGGAGGGATATGGGCTCGCCTGCTTTCTTTCCCTCCTGGTAAAAGAAAAAAATGATAAAAAAACAATCTGGAGAGTAAAGAAGTTTTACTTCAAAAAATTTCAAGTCTCGTTTTATGGCATGTGGGGTGTCGTTTGAAAGGTCTCGACGAGTAGAAAACGATTATAAAAAAATAATATATTATACTACTCAGGTACTTTTGATGCAAAGTCGATGCAAAACGTAAAACCTTTTAAAAATATTGCATATTCTTTCATTTCCGACCGTTTATCAATTCATTCTAATATTATTTAAAACAAAACGTTCAGCGAGTCTAAAGAAGTTTTACTTCAAAAATTCTAAGTTGTCTCTTTCATGGCATGTGGGGTATCGTTTGAAAAGTCTCGACGAGTAGAAAACGATTTTTATATATATTTTTTATATAAAAAAATTATAATACTAAACATTTTTAGTATTATATATAAGCATTATGTATATTAAATCTTAAAAAAGTTGCAAAGTTGATGCAAAACATAAAATTTTTTCAAAATCCTTCATATTCTATCATGTCCGACCGTTTATAAATTATCCCTAATAGTATTTATAACAAAACGTTCAGTTAGTCTAAAGAAGTTTTACTTCAAAAAAATTAGATAGCAACTTTTTTGGCTTGTGGGGTATCGTTTGAAAGGTCTCAACAAGTAGAAAACGATTTTTATAGAAAAATATTATATTATACTACTCAGATACTTTTGATACTACAAATATGTATATTAATCTTAAACAGAATGCAAATTTGATGCATACCGTACAAAAATTGCAAAAAGTCTACTTTTTTTTATTTACCACCGTTTATTAATTATTTTACATAGTATTTACAACAAAACGTTCAATAAGTCTAAAGAAGTTTTACTTCAAAAAAATTAGTTTTCATCTCTTTTAGCATGTGGGGTATCGTTTGAAAGGTCTCAACGAGTAGAAAACGATTTTTATAAAAAAAAATGAGTATATCATAATAAAATCATTACTTTTATTATTATATTTTATTACATTCTTAAATATTATTGAAAAACTGTTTTAAATGTGAAATGTGTAAAACGTTTTGTAGCGAATACTAAAATCAACCATGTGATTTGTCCGAAAAATGTACACTTTTAATAAATTTATATCAAACGAGTCTAAAGAAGTTTTACTTCAAAAAAATTAGAGTCCATCTTTGTTGGCATGTGGGGTATCATTTGAAAGGTATTTTTCAATAGATTCGAAATATAGCAAAAATTTTAAATTGCTCATATTTTGTACAAAAAAAAATTCAAAAACTCTTAAAAAAATATCAATTGGTGAAAAAATTGAAATTAGCAAAGCAAGTTGATTTAAAAAAATAAATAAAACTCGGTCCTTTATCTCACCTTCATGTTAATTTCCGCAATATCGTCCCTGTCCTGCCAAACCGGGAACAAGTTCGTAAACTCCAAAGGCTCCAGACCAGCCCACACCAGATATCCCTTAACATCCTTCGCAGAACCATGTTTGACCTTCCAATAATCGACTGCAGTCTGCATAGCAGCCCTCCTTTCAGCCTGCCAGCGAACAGCACCAGAACCAGTCTGGTCTGAACCCAAAAGTGCAGAATCCGTATCATCGTCCATGTCCTGTCCAGGAGGCCACCAGCCTTGCCATAACCACAGAGACGACTCATTGTCTAGTAAAAATATTGCAGGTTGGCTCACCGAGTATAAGTCTCTTTGGGAGAACGGGAATGGAGTGTGCAGGGTATCATGACGTAAAGGACACAGGATTTCTGTTGGTTCGAAGGTTCCAGAGATGCTGGATAAGTGAAAGAGTCTTGGTGTGTAGTCGAATGTGTTGGTTGTTGATTTTATCATGGATACGTAAAGTTTACGGTTGCAACCGCCTAAAGCTTCCAAAAATGTGTTGTTTTCGTTGCCTTCGGTTGTTTCGGATAAAGTCACTTTTTTGGTTGACGATGAAAATAAGTCTTGGGGTTTGGTGTTTTGTAGTCTGGTTGCAGCCGCTCGTGCGACTTCTTTTACGTGCTTCAAGCTGCGTGCACCATGCCAAACCACAATAGTGTTATTCTCAGTATCCACCAAGACCAAAGAAGCCCTGCTTCGCAGTTGGCGCATACTACAAGGCACTTCTTCTAAAACAGCCTCATTTTGCACACAACCCCGGCAAGTGTATAGTCTATACCTATCACTCCGAGTCTCACCGCGTTTACCCTCATGCACAATCATACCGCCTGAGAACAAGTTGACAAACGCCGGGGGCTCTCGGCCTTGTGCAACCCGGATTTGAGGACCGCGTTCTTTGTCTAATTGTACAGTCATTAAAGCTGCAGCACCTTTGTCAATATTTGTGGCGGTGCGTCCTTGCCAACAAAAATAGGCACAACGATCACGCCCGGATAGGGAATGCCGGGACGGCTTACCCCCCAACTCGCGACCGGTGACAGAAACTAGGTACTGCCACCGGACGACGTAACCATCACCGGAATAGAAATGCCCGATTTTGGAGTCATCGAACTCGCTGGATTTGTATTCTTGCACCCTCCACACGGTGACCTTAACTGTAGTGATCTCGCAACGCTTGCCCAACTCTTCGTTGAAATGAAAGTCACCGCGACCGACTTCATCGGTTTCTAGTTTCAGCGAGGGCAGGGAAGGTTTTGTGTCGATCATGGTTTTGGCATTGCACGGTGATAAATCTATAGTAGCATCTGCACTCTTTTCCTCACCGTTGTCTAAAGTTTTAGACTGGATCACACGTGAAAAATCAGGCCAGTCCAAAAACTTCTCGCGAAACAGCACAGTTTCCATGTGCTGATTGATTTTACCAATCAAAGCCCATTCGGGCCTACTATCACTCTTCTTAGCCTTTACCACATCATCATCACGCATACCCCGGTCACCTAATAACTCCGTCACGTTCAAAGGACACACATCACAATTCGAGTAATCATAGCCCTCAGCCCACAATTCCTGGGCCAATTTCAAAGCACTTTTGCGGTCATCGATGCTGGCGGTTTTGCCGTTCCACACGTACATCTCGGAACCAAAATCGAACACCAGGATTTTACTTGGGTCCAGCATTGATATTCTGGGAATGCTGCCCCAATATTTTTCTAAAGGCACGAGTTCGTCGCCTTGCAGCTCGTATGCCATGTTGGTGTCGACTATGCCGGACTCATACAACTCGTCTTCGTCGGGGTGACCGGCTTTGACGGGCTTACCTGGGGAGGAAATATAAACTAGTAAAAATATTACCTAGTCGTGCTAAATATTAAACTATTGGTGCATGGCATCGTGGCTTAAAGAAAATTGCTGGAACTTCCCGTACCGTAATTAAAAATTCGATAATTTCATTTGGATTATATATTATAAATGAAAATTATAAATTGAGCGACGAGAGTATTATACAAACAATTTTGTTGATAATTTTGAATCTTTTTCAAAATTTAGAAAATTTTCCGGTAAGTTTGAATTTTTGGAAATTTTTTAAAAAATCCGAATTTTTTTTTTTGAGAAGTCCAAAATATTATTTTTTGCAAAAAAACCGTTTTTTTTTCATTTTTGACATTTTTCGAAATTTTTTGAAATTTACATTTTGAAATTTGAAAATGTTGAAAAAATTCGAAAATTTGATTTTTTTGGAACTTTATTGTTTTTTAATTTCCCTTTTTTTGAAAATTTTGAAATATTTTGTTTTTTGAAACTTTTGAATCTTTTTTTGAAAATATCTGTTTTTTGATCATTTTAAATATTATTTGTAAAAAATCGTTTTTTTTTTAATTTTGCCATTTTTAGTAATTTTTTGAAATTTAGAATTTTGTAATTTGATAATGTTGAAAAATTTCGAAAATTTGATTTTTTTTTGAAAATATCCAATTTTTTTTAAAAATTTCGAAATATTCTTCATTGTAAGAAATTGTTTTTTATTTTTTTTGATGATTTTAGAAATGTTTGAAATTTAGGATTTTGAAATTTGAAAATTTTGAAAAATTTCGAACATTTGATTTTGTTGAGAATTTGGAAATTTTTAAAAATATCCCATTTTTTTTGTAATTTCAAAACATTCTTTTTTGTAAGAAATCGTTTTTTTTTAAATTTTGACATTTTTCAAAATTTTGATTGAATCTGTTTTTTGAAAATTTTCAAAACTACGAAATTTACACAAGCAAAACGGCTCTTTTTGCTCCGTATCTTCAAAACGGCTAGACTTACCATTGCCAAAAACTAATCAGCACGTCTCATTATCAATACGAAAGGAATATTTTTGAATTATTCAAATCGCTTCATCCGTGTTCCCGAAATCGTCGACGAAAATTTCTGAACACACATACATACACGCACATACCCACGCACACATACACACACATACATCCATTTTTTCTAAGGTATGCCAAAATGTTCAGAAACCTCTGAAACGTAAATATATATAAAAATTTTCATTTTCGATTTTTTTGCGATTACTATAACTTACCCTACGGGAAGTTAATAATTGAGAGTACATAACAGCTGGACCGGCATTTCCAAAAATTTAAACAGTTATTCGTTTAGTCAATACAAAAAAAATGTTTTTTGAATTATTCAAATCGGACCGTTTTGAATAACGATTTTTGGCTCTTTTTGCGTATCTTCGAAACGGCTAGACCTGCCTTTGCCAAAATCTAATCAGCACGTCTATTTATCAATACGAATAGAATGTTTTTTAGAAACCTTTGAAACGTGAAGATAAATAAAATTTTTAATTTTCGATCAATTTCTTACCTCCTTCAGGGCATCCAAGCAGCGTCCAAAACTTCTTAACACTCTGCCCAACCATCACCTTCTCCTCATTGATAGTATAAACCTTAGCACCACTCGAGCACCCCAAATCCTTCTTCTGCTGTATACACTGCACGATATCCGCACCTCTAGACCGTTCGATAACATTTGAATATAATCCTAGATACAAGTAAACCTCATCGGGTGTCACCAGGACATAGGCGTCCCCAGAATTTATACTGGAGGCTACTGGTTCAACCAGCCTGGCCTGGACGTGTCTCCTGCCCTTGACTTGTATCAGCATTAGGGGTTTGTGAGGGACCATGGTGAACGAGGCACTGGCTGCGGCCTTTCGTAAGTTTACTGCAGTGAAGTCTTCTTTACTTGCTAATCCTGCCAACGCTTCTACGGCCATGGAAGAGCCTTTAGCCACTGGGGAAAAAGAAATAAAACTAGTTGGTATTGGTATTTTGCCTTGAGGCAAGTTACATGAACTTCCCCCGAAATGTGTAAATAATCGACTTAATCAATAAAAAATAAATTAATTTATAAGTATTCCAAGTGGATTTATTACACATAATTGAAAGCGAACTAACACGTTAAGTCGGAGTATTTTCTAAAAGCAAATTTTAACTAGTGGTGTATGGCATCGTGCCTTGAGGCAAATTGCTGAAACTTCCCGTACCGTAATGAAATGTTCGAGAAATTTTAAACGTTTTCAAATATATTATTACACTTACTGTAACTTTCATTATTTTTATTATCTTGTTATATCTGACCGAATCAAATGTAAATCATCTCCATAACATACTAAGATAGTAAAAACTGTTTTATACACTTGGATATTAAAATTTTGAATAATTTGTAATTGAAATGTAGACTTTAGTATTTTGATAATTTGCCATATATGGATTTAGGACATTTTTTTACTTTTCTTCAAATAACTTGAAATTTTCTTCCCGGACATTTTAATTTATTTACATTATTAAAAACTGGATGAATTTTACTTAAATCTGGTATAACCAGTTTTATACACTTGCATAATGAAATTTTGAATAATTTGTAATCGAAATGCGGATTTCACTATTATGATAACTTGCCTTATATGGATCTAGGACATTTTTTCTACATTTCTTCAAATAACTTGAAATTTTCTACGCAGACATTTTAATTCATTTACATTATTAAAAACTGGATGAATTTTACTTAAATCTGGTATAAACAGTTTTATACACTTGCATATTGAAATTTTGAATAATTTGTAATTGAAATGCGGATAATAGTGAATATTATGATAACTTGCTTTATATGGATTTAGGACATTTTTTTACATTTCTTCAAATAACTTTTAAATTTCTTCCCGGACATTTAAATTTAGTTACATCTGTAAAAACTAGATAAAATTTACTTAAAATTTACTATTTACACTTGGAATTAAAACTTTGAACAATTCGTATTTAAAATGCGGACTTTAGTATTTCCATAATGCAAATTAGCACATTTATTACTTTTTTTCAATAATTAAATTTAATAAATAACAAATAAATTTATGAATATTATTAAAAATACTTTACAGTATTAAGTTGTGTATGGCATCGTGCCTTAAGGCAAATTGCTGGAACTTTCCGCACCGTAATGAAATATTCGAAAAATTTTAAACGTTTTCAAATATATTATTACAAATACTTTCAGTAACTTTCATTATTTTTGCCATCTTGATATATCTGAGCAAATCAAATGTAAATCATAAATAATCAATTTATCTCCAGAACATTAACAATCGTCATTTTATTTCGAATTCAATTACAAAAAAAAATAGTTGCGTAATTACCACAAAATTGGTAAATTGCTCCCGTATAGTCACAGTCTAAAGGCATTTGCAAATAATTCTGTGCGACATTTTCATTTGTACTGTGCTTAGCTTGGCGGCATTTTCACATTTTTCAATAGTTTTTTTTGACAAAATTGAAAAAGTGCTCCAGTACATAAACAGTCTAAACGCACTTGGATGAACATTTGTACCAGAGTGGCGCTTAGACTGTGCTTAGCCTGGGTAATTTTTAGAATTTTTAATCCAAAATTATAAAAATATTCAAAAAAAAAAAAAAGAATTAGAAAAGAAAAGAGAGAAATGTTTTTCCCGAAAGCTATTATTTTGTTGAAACAAGCAGAAAGTTCTTTGAATCATTTAAATCGGACACTCAGTTCTCTCAAAAACTTCATTTTTTTTTTAACATTTAGCTCTGTATCTCCGAAACCACTAGGCCTATCTTTGCCAAAAACTAACAACAACTTTTCCCTGTCATTACGAACTGAATGTTTTTTGGATCATACAAATCGGATGATCCGTTCTCTCAAAAACTCGCTTTCTATTTTCTGCAATCTTTGCTCCGTATCTACGAAACGGCTGGACCTGCCTTTGTCAAAAACTAATCAGCACATTTCCCTATCAATAGGGATGGAATGTTTTTTGAATCATTCAAATCGGTTGATCCGTGCGCCCAAAACGTGGACGAAAAAATGCGGACATACAAAACACACACACACACTCACGCACTCACACACATCTATTTTTTTCTAGGTATGCCCCTTAAAAATGTTCAGAAACCTTCAAAACGTCGAGAAATGTAAAAATTTTCATTTTCGATTTTCGGCCCGTTACTATACTACCCTACGGGAAGTTAAAAATAACACATGGATGAATGTCTTTGTCTTACATTTTTCTACTTTCATCCTCTTCAATTCCCGATCGGCCACATCAGTCCTGACCTCGGCGTAGCTGTCCCTTAGGTCTTCGCGTTGGGCGAGGGCTCGAACCGGGTTGCGCGAACCGGCGCGTCTGCCACGCTGTGCCTGCACAGTGCGCCTTAGAACCAGCCTAAAGAATAAAAAAATAACATTAAATACATCTCCAGAAAATACTTGTCATTTACCATCTTACATTTGTCGGGCGTCCTTAGACACCGCGTCCAGGTCGACGCTGTCGATCTCGACAGAAGAATTGTTCGAAGGGGGAGTCTCTGTGGCGCTCAGGAAGAACGCGTTGAATGTCTCGTCGTCTGTACGGGGTATCGGCACGCTCACACCTCCTGTATCTGAAAAAAAAACACAACAAATATGTTAAAAATGACGCTGACGTAATAAAAAAGAGTAACTATTGTATAGCGACATATGATGGTAGGAATAGAGAGTGTAATTAAAGATAATAAATAAGTAAAGAGATTATGTAACTATGTATGAATGGTTAATCCTCCTAAACTATAATTCGGATTTTCATGAATCTTCCTGAAATTTGATCGGGAAAATTTCTAGAACTTTTAGATTCATAGAAAGTTAGATTGTAGAAATAAATGGAAAAAATTACAAAAAACCGCTTATCATGTTTGACCTTGAAAATATTTGAAGCTTAGTTTGACATTAAAAACAAATAAAGACTGTCATTTGCCAAACATTTCTATCCACTTATAGGCTAAGGCTATCTTAGAATATAATATAATCATGATTATGAAGGAGAAAAATGTAATGACTACATTATTATTGCCGAAAAGCAGCTGAGATGTGCCAGAAATTAAAATAATATAAGATTTACAGTCAACATCTAGCAGGTGATGCAGTCTGCGCATGCGTCTGTCAGCGATCGCACATAAAACTTAGCCTATAATTCACTTCGACTGATTATTATTTTTTAACTTTTAAATGCAGTCGTGTTTATAAAAAATTACTTATTCAAAAAATTATTTAGAAGTGTCATTGTGTCAAATATTCATATATTTGGCATTGGATACGGAATATTTACTCAAGTCAATAGGAGCGTTTTGGACCTGAATTTTTTTTACTGTGCTCCAATTTGTATGAATTTATGGAATTAGGTTCATCTTACTGTCAAGTTCAAATGTGAAAATAATTTAGACTCCTTTGCCACTTCCTGTGGGGATGAAATCCCTTCTCAGTGGAAAAATTTATTTTTTACAAAATAACGTCGGATATCGATAAAAGAACTAATTGCGAGATAAAAATGTTTCATAATATTTTTCAAAACAGCAAATACTTTTCAAGTTACTGACAACTGAAAATTCGTTTCTTTTTAGCGTTTTTCATAGTTTTTTTTTCAAATATCTCCAAAAATATACATTTTAACAAAAATCATGTAATGAAGAAAATTACAATAATAAGGTGAGCATATTTTTTTAAGTCAAAACCGGGATGGCACTTTTTCGTTATGTTTATTCGGGTCGGAAGGGAGGGATCCTATTTAAGAATACAACTAGTGGGGTGGGTGGCATCGTTCCTTAAGGCAAATTGCTGGAACTTCCCGTACCGTAACGAAATGTTCGAGGAATACTGAATGTTTTCAAATAGATTATTATAAATATTGTAACATTGTCTAATATTTATAAGAATTATATAAACTGAATTGCAGAGTTGAAATTATTTGTTTCAACAAAAAACTAAAAAAAAAAAAAAAAATCGAACAAAAATTTTTTTTTCCAAAATCAATTATTTTGTTAAGACAAGCAGAAAGTTTTTTGAATCATTCAAATCGGACGCTTAGTTCTCTCAAAAACTGCCATTTTTTACATATTTAGCTCCGTATCTTCGAAATGGCTGGGCCTGCCTTTGCCAAAAACTAATAAACACTTCTCCCAATCATTACTAATTGAATGTTTTTTCGATCATTCAAATCGGATACTCCGTTCTCTCAAAAATTCGATTTCTATTTTCCGCACTTTTTGCTCCGTATCTCCGAAACGGCTGGACCTGCCTTTGCCAAAAACTAATCAGCTCTTTTCCCTATCAATAGGAATCGAATGTTTTTTGAACCATTCAAATCGGTTGATCCGTGCGCCCTAAAACGTGACTGGAAATTTGTATCCATACATACATACACACACACACACACATACACACACACACATCCATTTTTTCTGAGGTATGCCAGTAAAATGTTCAGAAACCTTCAAAACGTCGAGAAATGTAAAAATTTTCAATTCCGATTTTCGGCCCATTACAATAACTTACCCTACGGGAAGTTAATAAAAAAAAGGTTTTTATATGAATCATTTTTTATTAAACAAAATTGCGGTTTTTGTTTCTACGTTTTTTTTTTGCTTTTGGGCGTTGTATAAAGTTCTATTCAATTTTCTTCATAATTTTGGAGAAAATAGCACTTGTTCCTTTGTTTTCATAATTATTGTTATTTTTAATTTTAATTTTTGAAAAACCGAGACAGCGCGGAGCAAAAGATCTAAATCCGGGACAAATATTTCTTTTAGAAATCCAGGGACACAAGGTAAAAATCCGGAATTGTCTCGGCCAAAGCGGGACGAATGGTCAGTTTAATATTAATCCTAATCTTAATAAATCGGTGCTTTATAAAGTGTTCTAGGAACAATATTAAGCTAGACATAAAAATGAGGTTTTATAGTGCTCATAATAAGCTTTAAATTGAGTAGTGTTATGGACCTGTTTTTTTTTTCATTTAAATCGAATAGTTTTATGAGTGCCATTTCCACCAAAATTACAATTAATCGTACTTCGTCTAGAATTAACTTGATTCAAGAGATTCCAAAATAACAAGCAAATTGGAGCACAGTAAAAAAGTTCACAGGTTACACCCCTTTTACTTATATTTTATTTACCGGAATTGAGGTCCTGTTCGGGTGCTCCCGGAGCAGAAATGCTCCTCTTGAAGGGCGATCCGGAAACAGTGCTCGTCAACTGCGTCGCAGAACTGGGGCCAGTTGCAGTTGGGCTCGTGTTGGAAGAGATCGCTGAAAAAAAAATAGAAAATCAAATTTTAAGGTAATGTAATCAATAATAATGTGATTTGTATATAAATTATATGGCTACGTCTATCAATCTACTTGTCTGCCAATAATTCTCTTCATATACAAATTAATAATGATTTTGACCAACTAAATGTTGATCCGTGCTCCCGAAACCGTCGACTAAAAATTGTATCCGCACATACATACACACACACATCCATGTAATTAAGGGGGTATTCTAGTGTAGAGCGATGAATTTTAGGTCATTTTTAAAGTGTCGTAAAAGAAAGCAATGCATGTTTTCACTATCCATTTTTTTACCATTTGTTTATTAATATTATTTAAATACTAAACAAAAATTAAAAAATAAAAAAGTTGAAAATTGTAAAAACTGGCAGCTAATGAAGTGGGTGGTCTCAAAAAAATGGCACCTCAGTCTTGACATGATTTCAGCCCTCCTAGCCATCGGAAATGCAAAAAGTTAAAAAATTATTAATCTACAATGATGTCGCAATCGCCCTAACTAGCGATGAGTAAAAAATTTTTTTTTACAAATGGGCGACTGTTTGAAGAAAAAAGTGTTTTTTTTACTGTTTTTTTGAGTTTCTCAAATTTTTTAAAAATAGTAAAAAATTGGAATTTGGGGATAATCCTAGTTCGGGCTATAGATAGGTCTATAAACAAGACTCTCTGAACATTTCAAGTGAATGGGTCGAGTAGAACTCGAGAAATCGTGTCAACAGTACTGAAAAAGTCTGTTCTGAGAAAAACGCATTTAAAGTTTTACGTGAAGCCAAACCAGTATGGAGACCGAGTCAGTAAAATGCCTATATCTCCGAAAATAATTCAAATTTTCAAAAACCTTCTCGTACCCATATTCTTAGATAGTTAAACTTTAAAAAAAAAATGAAATAAAAAAAAAACGATTTTTTTGAATTTCTACACTAGAATACCCCCTTAAAGGTATGCCAAAACGTTCAAAAGACTTTGACCAAAAGGTTTTACGCCGCAGTTTTTATCAGTCTCCCTTAAAGTCCATGTCTCTTATCCGTACAGAGCCGGATTCATAATCTACATTATTAATATAAATATTTACACATATAAGTATGTGTGTTTGTATGTGTGTGTATCTATGAATAATGTTTTCGATTCGATAATTTCTGATAAGTGTGACTATACACGCACATATTCTGTTATCATCACATTTTTCCTTCCAGTGTTTATATGTAAAAGACACCTGATCGCACGGCAAATAGACATTTTACAGTTTCACTACCAATAAATAAGCATAAGAGAACGTTGCCATGGCAACGCAATTTCTTGAGCTTTGTTACGACAGAATAGCCCCCTATGTCTTCTGAATGAGTAATTTTTATTAAATCTCATTATTCAGAACGCTTTGCAGAATCCTATTTTAATAAACTAAAATAATTCCCTCCTAAGTATTTGTAAAATGCATTGATATTAATAAAATTTAGTGTGCATGTTTTTATGTGTGTGTCTATCTATATAAATAATGTTTTCGATTCGATAATTTCTGATAAGTGTGACTATACGTACGTATTCTGTTATCATGACATTTTTCCTTGCTGTGTTTATATGTAAAAGACGCCTGATAGCACGGCAAATAGACATTTTACAGTTTCACTACCAATAAATAAGCATAAATGAACGTTGCCATGACAACGCTATTTCTTGAGCTCTGTTACGACATAATGCCTTCCCAATGAGTAATTTTTATTAAATCCCATTATTCAGGACGTTTTGCTGAATCCTATTTTATTAAACTAAAATAATTTCTTCATAAGAATTTGTAAAATGCATTGATAGTAATAAAATTTAGTATGTGTGTGTGTATATCTATAAATAATGATTTCGATTCGATAATTTCCGATAAGTGTGACTATACACGTACGTATTGCAAATATGTCGACGGATAAGAAAGTGAAAGGTTACTTTACACATTACATGTACATGATACGGTTATTGGTCATTGCGAATTTATTTATTATTATTGCATCCTGCATTTAATGTAATAAAAAATGCAGTGCAGTCTAATTACTTCATTTTGTACATTGAACATTTTTTATTCTAAAACTATTTAATAGTCTTTGTCATACACCGATTTGGCCAGTCTTAGTCTTGAAAAATTCGTGCCAATCCAGAGATGGTCGGAAAGGTGAGATATTATTTTAAAATCGCGTAGAAACTTTACATTTTTAATTTGAAAATTTTTGTAGAAGCGCAATTTAAATGAAACAATGGAAGGTGGCTAATACGTCAAATGTCAAAAGTTTTTGACAGATGATGTTCAATGACGTTTAATAGGATGTTTTACGTGAATATTATTTAATTATTATTAAATTGTAGTAAGTAGTTTTTTTTTGTAGTTTTATTTATACACAAAAACGTTATTAAACGGATCGCAAGTGTTACTAGAAACTCAAAATGTTAACCTTTTAAAATGAAAAGATAATATGAAAATGCACTTTTTGGCATATTTTTCTAAAACACGGTGTTCTGAAAGATCTCATTTGACTAATTATATACTCATTGGTATTTATAAAACATTTTCTAGGTTATATTATTTTTTATTTAAGTTATTTAAATTCAGAACCTAAATTTGGTTCGATCAAAGGGACATTTTGTTCTCAGACTTTATCGAAGAATAGATAGTAATATATGAAGGTCCGGGGTTAAAAAGGTCCACCACCGATGTGTTAAAAACCAGTAAAGATAAGCATTGTTTAACAACAATATTTGAAAGTAGAGGGAAAAAGATGTATAACCAGCTATAACTTTGATTCTCAAGGCCTTTCTATCCGGAGATAAACGGTTATTTTTAAAAATCCACAATAAAAGACCAAAAAAGACATGGATTGGATTATACTATGTTTTCTATGAAAAGTGTATAAAACTTCCAGTTTAATTGTATTGTCAGAATATAGACAAACTAATGGGGTTTATTGTTTTTATAATACAACATTGTATTATATTGCATTCAAACAACACATCCTCATACACTTAAAGTAATAATGTTTTTGATTCTCTAGAAATTGTTTAGCATATACCTATACTCGGGTCAGCTAGTATATATATATACACACACACACACATATATATATATATATATATATATATATTTATTTATTTGTCTGTGTGTACATAAACTGGTCGCACTCCATTGTACCAATTTGCATAACCAGAATTTAACACGGAAGACTTTATGAAAATTAGCAATAAATTACACGATTATGAATATTGGTTTTCTAATTTTAGACAATATGGATAAATTAGGCAAAATAACAATTTTGGTGTCGAACATCTCTTTTCTTTTTATATATTAACTATAGTAGATACACCACTGGGCGTATGTACTAATTTGTAAACAACCAATTGTAAACACTTGTCAGCATTCTCTGCTAAATATAATTATTTTTATAGATTGCAGAATGAAAATAGAATAAAAAAAAAACTCTTTTCTACCAAGCCTATGAGGTAAAAAGTACCCAATGCTAAATTTTAGAAAAATAACAAAAAACCTTATTTTTTCAACAGGGAATTTTACTGAACATAGTAAGACAGTTGTTTGTTTAATATGAGTTAAGTTTTATAACTTAAGTTTTATAATTTAAGTTTTATAACTTACCAGTCCTGCTGCGGAATCTATTCATCGGTGGACACCTCCGTTTTCTCTGATCGTTCGACGTGGGTGTTCCTGCTCCGCCTGCTCCGGCCACAACGGCTAACATTGACCGCGACTTTTCCACCGCCGGCATTCGGCCGGCGACAGAGAATTTGCCTGCGTCGGCCGGGGCTACCCTCCTCCTCCAACCCTAAATAATAATAGACATATATCATCATATAAATATATTTACACTAGCAAATCCGACGAACTCCGTTTCGCCACCAGATGGTTTCGAGAGAAAGATGAAGAAATTTCTAGTTTGTTTTATATTTGAAAAGGAAAAATTTGATTTCATTACCTAACAGTAATGAATTTATTTCGATTACAAAAATGAAGTGTTTTTTAGTTGAACTTCTCTAAGTAAATGAAAGTGAATCCGCAAATTATCCGTTTCATTGAAGTGCTCTTTGGTAAACCACATTTTTTGTTTTTTGGTCTGACGTTAACACAAACAAAGCAGATGGTTTTCCAACTCGTGAACAGGTAACGTATAACTGGCCATGTGAAAAACAATGATTTTATAAATAATCTATTTGAAATTTATCCCGCAAACACTAAGCGATTGGCCTTGCGATTTGTTAATTGTCATTGCGAACGCAAGGCGAACTGTAAATTGCAATCGTTTGAAGTCAAACGGAAGACCAGTCGGAATCATTGGTATGTCACCAAATCGCCAGCAATTTTTGATTGAATGGTGAAATTCAGTGCGTGTACATCATTATTCTTTCCGGCAAGAATTTCTCGTTGACTTGACCAAGCATAATTCTGATAGTTCTCACTAATGTCATTACTCAAATATTTAATTACGGTGCGTGAAGTTCCAGCAATTTGCATTAAGGCACGATGCCATGCACCATTAATTTTCTTAGCTTTAAACCTTGCGGTGCCCGAGACCTTTCCAACAAATGCAAAATTGTCGAAATCGTTTCGTGCGTTCTGGAGTTATTTTGTCAGGAAGGAAAACCCGACTTATTTTTATATATATGTAGATAATTATTGAAGTAAAACTTCTTTAGGCGCAACTAGGGTGTAAATTCGTACAAATGCAACAGAAGTTCGTTACGGCAGATAAGATTAGATTAGAGTCGAGTGTCAATGATTCGTCATGCGCTCTCGATGATATCATTTCTATACGGGTCGATTGTGATTAATCGTCGTGTTCAGTTAATACAGACCTGTCGTTGTATGAGTATCGGCATCAACAAGAAAATCGGCATAGATAAATAAACATTTTAAAGTTACATCTTAGTACAAATCTTGATTTAATGAAAAATGCCCGAATCAGAAGAATATTTTACCCTGTTCCTTGAAAATAATAAAACAACTTGAACATTTGTGCCGTGTACTAAACGTAAGTTTACTGATTAGAAATTATGCCTATATTATTCGTAGTTTCTATAAATTTTTGAAGTTATTAAAATAGAAAATATTTTTTAGGCAGGACAGATATTACAGCTGTTCAAAGAATGAGATTATATCGCCAGCGAAAAAGTGAAAAAAATACAAGCAATCAATGATGTATGTTAATTTTAATTACATGAAGTTCTTCAAACACAATTATTGCATGATGAGTGAAGTTGCGAAAACAATATTTGTTTAGGCGTTGTTTAACATAATACACTGTGTGAACGAATATTATAAAATTTATTAATCAGCAATTACTTCATTTCTCTAATGAAGGTTCAAGTCCTAAATGCTATTTACAATGACAAACCGATCATGTCATATTTGAAGTATGACTTTGATTACATTATTGTTTTTAAATATTATACATATTTTTAACGATATTATAAATATATAATTTATAATTTATCATTATATAAATGTGTATAATGGTTGACGACACTAATAAATGTGTGCATTGCGAGTGTTACCATATTACTAATAAATATTATTCAAAATTGTTACATGATATATTTATTTTCACTTAAATGCCATCTTGTGCAGTAGCAAATAAGTTTTACTTCAATCGCGTGTGATCCTTACGCGCACTCTTTTTGTTTATTTATTTAGCTATTTACCTGTGAAGCAGTCTCCAGACATTCCAATCGTTCTGCCAAAACAGCTGCTCGAGAATCCTGCTGTGCAACAATTTGCGACTGCTGCGAATTGAACTGATTTTGCTGCTGCTGCTGCTGCTGCTGCAGCACAGGCGGCGGCAGAATGCAAGCAGGCTGTGGCGAACTCAATAAAGGCTCCTAAAAATATAAAAAAATGAATCAATCTATTGGCAATTTTAAAAATTATATATATATACTAGCTGTCCCTGGCACGCTTTGCGGTGGCTAAGTGCTTTCAGTAATTATAATATATTGAGTCAATTTTAATTAATTCTGGAACAATCAACTAAAATTTAGAATTAAAAAAAAATAAAAGTGAAAGCATTAAAGTCATATAATTAACATTTAGTTTGCAATAATAAATATTGAGATCAATATTTGAAATAAACCCAATATAATCTTGTAAGATGGAACATATTATAAAGGATTACAAAATTGTATCAAAATGAGTCAAAATTGTATCAAAAGTAATTTCGTAACTTATCACAAACAAACATAAATATATATATATATATATATATATATATATATATATATATATATTAACAAAGTCTAGTAATCGGGCATAACATCAATAAAAAACATGAATTTCTTTCCAAAATTTATTTTAAATCCATACATTTTGGCTATATGCCTAGCCTTCATTCAGTGAAAAATTAGTTATTCTTAGTGTTAAATTGCAATAACTAACTAATAATAAGAATAACTAATTTTCCACTGAATGAAGGCTAGGATTATAGCCGAAACGTATGGATTTAAAATAAATTTTTGAAAGAAATTCATGTTTTTTATTGATGTTAAGCCCGATTACTAGACTTTGTTAATACATATGTCAACATCAAATTCAGAATCATACAAAATATATATATGTTGACAGTGTTTAAATATATATATATATATATATATATATATATATATATATATATTTCATATGTATGTCTTAATAAAAATTCCTCTAATTGAATTCTTCAATTTCGACTTTTAATTACAAATTAATTTCACGCTTCGCGAACGCACATTTTGTATTTCTTAAACTTTCACTAAAATACGATAAAAAAAATTAAACAAAATTTCATTTTTAACACAATTTTAATTAATGAAACAAAAGTCGTAAATTTGTGAAAAAAAAATAAACAAAATTTCATTTTTAACACAATTGCAATTAATCAAAACAAAAGTCGTAAATTTGTGAAAAAATATTAAACAAAATCTCATTTTTAACACAATTTCAATTAATGAGACAAAAGTCGTAAATTTGTAAAAAAAAAATACAGTCATTAAACACATTTTAAATAAAATAAACTAATAAAAAGAACTCTACTGACGAGCAAACTTTATGTAAAATGTCCAAGTAAAAACTAGATAATGATTAGGATTATTTAATAAAAATATGAATTAAAATAATAAAATGAATTCTACTGACGAGCAAACTTTATATAAAATTTCGAAATGAAGACTAGATAATTATTAGGGTTATTTTAATTAAAAAGGAACTCTACTGACGAGCAAACTTTGATAAACTAGTTTTTACGCGCACTTATAAAATAAATTTATATCATATTGTTGTCATTTTGCTGCATATAAATTCGGGTCATTTTTTTACATTTATTTAAATAACTCAAAAATTTTGTTCCGGGCACTCTTTTTTAGTTAGCTTAGCAGAAACTAGATAAAATTTACAAAATATAGTATAAACTACTTTATACACTTTGATTCAAAATTTTTAGGTAAAACTAGCTGCAAATGGTGACTATCCACAATATAGGTATTTAGGTCTTTTATTTACAATTTACGAATTTAGGACAATTTTTCACATTTTTGTATATAACTCGAAAATTTGTTTCGTGACGTTCTTTTTGATTAACTTAGCAGAAACTAAATAAAATTTACTTAAATCTCACATAAACTGTTTTATACACTTTGATACAATATTTTTAAATAATTTAAACACGCCCTAATATATTTTGCATGTTCTCAATATACGGCTTCCGGTCATTTTTTACATTTCGTCAAATAACTCAAAAATGTTATTCCGGGACACTCTTTTTTTGTTAGCTTAGCAGAAACTAGATAAAATATACTAAAATACTGTATAATGTGTTTTACACCCTTTGGAATAAATTTTTTGAATAATTTGACCGCACTAATATATTTTATATATTTACAATATGTAAATATTCATGACACTTTTTTACATTTTTTCAAATAACTCAAAAAATTTGTTCCGAGCACTCCTTTTTAATTAGCTTAGCAGAAACTAGATAAAATATACTTAAATCTTATATAAATAGTCTTACATACTTTGATACAAAATTTTGAATAATTTGAACACGCCCTGATGTATTTTGCATATTTACAATATATGGTGGTGTTGTGGGACACTTTTTTACATTTTGATAAATAACTCAAAAACTTTGTACAGGGCGCTCTTTTTTAGTTAGCTTAGCAGAAACTAGATAAAATTCACTAAATTGCATCGTCTATTGTCTTTCTTCACAATCGGAATTTATCCTTCAAGTTATTTAGGACAAATTGAATAGTTTTATGATTAATTGTTATTTTAATTATTTGCAGCTACTTATATGAAAATGTGAACAATGAAAAAATTACGAAACATTTTAAATAAATATATGCAAATTTATATATATATATATATATATATATATATATATATATATATATATAGTAACATAAATATTTTTTCTTTTTATTTTTTTTTATTTATTTACCTTTATCACAGACACCGAACAATTGACCTTCTCATCATCGTCCACCACTGATTCAATACAATATTTATATTTGAACCAAATATAAACCAAAAGTATCAACAAGACGATAAAACACAATTCCAAAACCAGCGACATTTTTTTTCAAAAAACATTTAAAAAACACAACACAGATGTTCACTTTGTTTTTGGTCACAGTCAATCATTATAAATACACTAAATAAAATCACTGGATAAAAAAAAAACAATTTATAAAAATATTTACTCTCTAGGTAAATCTTGAAAGTTTAGAAAAATTTTGCAAAAAATGTACATCCAAAATAAATAGGTGTCTAGGTCGACGTATAAATAATAAAGTATTTTCTAGGATGATTTTCGAGTTGTTCTAGGAACTTTTACTATAAGACAATATTGTTTAGTGTTCAATTCTAAACAAATTTTCCAAATACACTTTTTATACCACGCTAATATTTCAGAAGTTATAAATAATTTTTCAAAAAAGTGTACTGCCAACATAGGTAGTAATAGGTCAACATAGGTCGACATAAATATGATAAAGTATTTTCAAGGGTGATTTTTGGGTATACCGGGTTGTTCTAGAAATTTTTACCATTCGACAATATTGTTGATTGTACAATTCTAAAAAAAATTACCAAATACACTACTAACATCACACGAATGCTTTAAAAGATACAAATAGTTTTGCCAAAAAATGTACTTCGAAAATTGATAAGTGTCAAGGTCAAAATAAACAATAAAGTATTTTTCATATTCAAGAAAAATTTGTTGTAAAAAAATTTCTTTGTACCAAAGCAAGTCCTTATCGAGTTCCATTGATAGACTTTTAAATTTTTAAAATCGGTTCAGCAGTTTTTGAGAAAACGTCAGCAAAAGTTAAAAAATCAGCTCACATACATACATGCACTGACTGGTCTCAAACGATTCAAAATGACTTGAAACGTCAAGAAATTAGCAAGACAGATTGTTAAAAAAATAGATCAGAAATTGTTTAACAAGTTTATTAAATCCAAAAACAACAAACAATTTTCAAGTATACCGAATTGTTCTAAGCAAATTTACTTGAACAAAAGCGAGTCCTTATGGAGTTCTATCAAATGTCTTTTAAATTTTTAAAATCGGTTCAGCAGTTTTTGAGAAAACCTCAGTGGAAGGTCGAAGCATAGCCTCACCCACATACTTTTTCCTAAATTTGGTCTCAAACGATTCAAAATGACAAGAAAACTTAAAATTACAAGAGAAGTTCAAAAATTGGTGCAGAAATCAAACAAATTGGTCCAAAAATTTATTACATTCAAAAACTACAAATTTGGTCACAGACGATTCAGAATGACAAGAAAACTTAAAAATAGAAATGCAAGGTAAATATGGTAAAAAAGGACAAATTTGGCCACAAACGATGCAGAATGACAAGAAAACTTAAAATTACAAGAGAAGTTCAAAAACATGATCCAGACTCCAAATTGGTCAAAAAATTTATTAAAACCAAAAACTACAAATTTGGTCACAAACGACTTAAAAATATGATCTAGAACTCTAAATTGGTTAAAAAATTATTAAATCCAAAAACTACAAATTTGGTCACAAACGATTCAGAATGACCAGAAAACTTAAAAATAGAAATACAAGTTAAAAATATGATCCAGAACTCCAAATTGGTTAAAAAAAATATTAAATCCAAAAACTACAAATATGATCACAAACGATTCAGAATGACAGGAAAACTTAAAATTAGAAATGCAAGTTAAAAACATGGTCTAGAGAAAGTTTCAAATATTTTCAAGTTCTAGGGCAATTTTCGAGTATACCGAGTTGTTCTAGAAATTTTTACTATAAGACAATATTGTTTAATATTCAATTCTAAACATTTTTATCGAAAACACTTTTTATACCATGCGAATATTTCAGAAGTTATAAATAATTTTTCAAAAAAGTGTACTTCCAAAATAGATAAGCGTCAAGGTCTAAATAAACGTAGAAGAATTCATATTGTAAGACAATTTTCGAGAATACAAAAGTGTTCTAGAAAAATTTTCTCGAACCAAAGCGAGTCCTTATGGAGTTCCACCAAATGGCTTTTAAATTTTTAAAATCGGTTCAGCAGTTTTTGAGAAAACCTCAGCAAAATGTAAAAAATCAGCTCACATACACACATGTACTGACACATACTTTTTCCAAATTTGGTCTCAAACGATTCAGAATGACTTGAAACGTCAAGAAATCAGCAAGACAGATTGTTAAAAAAAATAGTTCAAAACCCCAAATTGGACAAAAGAATTTATTAAAACCAAAAACTACAAATTTGGTCACAAACTATTCAGAATGACAAAAAACTTAAAAATAGAAATGCAAGGTAAATATGGTAAAAAAATACAAATTTGGTCACAAACGATG